AGATCAACAGCACTGAAAGAATCATGAAGTGTGCGATTGATGGAAGATGTGCAAATAAAGTATTTTATAATATACTTTTCATATTTTACCAAACCACTACAACACTGTTAATATATGGGTATCATTGTAAACAATTCATATCTGGAAGCTGTATTCATCATGAGATCATCTGAGTTAAGGTACTTTTGAGAAAAGAGAGTAGGAATGCATATCTGCGACACTGCCAGGTATCGGAGAACGTATATCCAATAGAAGCACTTTGTTAGCATCTAATGGAATAGCCACAAATTCAATCAATTCGCAATATAGTTCCATAATCTTCCGACAATATTAGCGTCACCTGTTTCACATTCGATACATCTCTGTGCAGTCAGTAATACTTCACCCATGGGCCTTGGGTTTGTTGCTTTTAGTCTTACCGTTCTTCAACCGACCTAACTAGCATAGTAAGACCTTGAAGAACTATTCTTCTAGCCAATTTAGCCCGACTGGTTCATCAAGATAGACAAGCCCGACCAACAACGATTGGGTACAAGTAGATTTTAATTGATCAGTTGTTTAAAAGAGATCAGTAAACAGTCGATTCATTTAAAGGTAATTTTTACTACAGACTGACATCATCCAGAGGAAAATTGTGAAACGAAAGTGAAGTAGACTAGTATTTCACTAGTGTCAAGGAGTTTACAGTGATTCAAATACATGATCCCACTCAAGATCAAAACAAAGACCTTCTGTTCTAGAAAAAGTCACACTGACTTTGACTGTTGAAAAAATCTGAAACTAAATCGTACATATTTCTCAACCTTATTCATTCTACCATACCAAAAAATGTTCTACAAATGAGATCGGTAGACTACTAAGTCGGTTGTGACTTTACCAATTCGATGAATCACGTTATCGCACCATTATTCTTGGTCAAAGTAGTTTTGTAGAAGGGAAGATGGTAAGGCAATATTGTGGATTGGTTGGAACTAGACATTAACAACGTTAGATGCCGGCTCAGTGGTCTAGAGTTTAAGTGTTCGCACGCGAGAGATAAAGTCCTGGATTCCGGTACTGCATGCAGAATCTTGTTTGTACACTGTTGAAGAGTCCCATACTAGAAAGAACCGGCTGTTCAGTGCTTCTTCTAAGTCTTCAGTAGTGATCTAACATTGATTGGACCATGATCTCAATAAAAGCTGAACAATCTCTACAATCCTACACTGACGTTTGTAGAAAGTTGATTGTATTATTCAACATGCGTCCATTCTATATTAATCTAAGACTAAGAAATATGAATTATGAGTTACAATTGTCTGATCATCTGTTTTTTCCAAAGTATTCTTCGCCGAGTTTTTATATTTGAATGAAAAGTAATTCACTTTCAGGTTCAAGATGTTATTCTATCATGAATTGACACTATTCACTAAAATTTAACCCTAAAGCACTAAGAAACCACGATTTAATTGTAGACCTTCGAATTTGGTGGAAAGTAACTATTTCATACGATCAACTTTAAATACAATGTAACTTGTTACGCATGATTAAATGAGTTGTTTGAAAGTGATCTTAAACCAACTTATCCGAAAGTTAACTAATGATCATTGTCGAAAGAGTTAAAAGATTATACTAACCGCCAACTGAGCTGGTCGAAACATTCGTCACATCTTCTTCATCACCAATCTTTGTTGAACTAATCAAATTTATCGCAAGGATTCATAGAATGATTGCAATCTACTTTTAGCACTTTTGGAATCGTGCCCTAAATGAGGTTGAAATGACTTAAGTGTGTTCTGCTTCATTAGAAATCCAAGAACGTAGTAATGTGATTATAGTCCCTGTACTGTTTCATTTTCTTTACTTATTACTCAATCTGATTACTTTTTTAGATCATTGAGCCGGAAATCAACAGTTTACATGTCAACGGTTCTATAACTGAGATTAGTCCATAATATAAACTACGAAATTCAACAATCTTTACAAACCCCCATAGTAATAACAATCATTTGCTTAATAGTCACTAATTTCGAATGATAATTTCAAGAGTCATAGTGAGAAGTAGTAATTGGTTGAGTTCAATCTCCTTAGATTTAACGCAATAACTCACTAACGGCCTGCGGAAGATTACTGATCAATAACATGAATTTGTTGAAGCTATCCATCCAAATCATTCATTGACGAATTATTGGTATAAAGATCAAGTGATCACTACAAAACCTGAATGTCCAGTGTGTACAATTTCTGTAAAAGTTGTAGACTTTCCCTGCTAAAAGGCCCGACATTAGAACGAAGCAGATGTATATTGCTTTCTCACTAAAGTCAGTCCGTGATCTAAACCATGATATAAACAAACTATTCAACTTATTATTCATGATATTATCTTTTACGAAGAGTGAGCAAGAACTATTACAAATATGTAGTCATTGTTTCCTATGGATAGTGATCTTATTGTTTCATGCTGTCGTATTAATACAACTCATATTATTGAATGATTATAAGTTGTCTGTGGCTAAACATCATGTGGAAGTTATTACAGTTGTCAGTCTAAAAGAGAAGAGTTATAGGAAGTTAATGAGTACGATGTGCAGAATAATTTGGAAATCAGAAGAAAAGCGGGAGAAGTCAGTCTACAACCAACTTGAATTTCAAAACGCACAAGATATAAATGAATGGCTAATGACTAAGTGTACATAATACATAAATATTTTATTATTTCAATTATCATTCAAGTCTTCAACTGGACGATGAAAAGTAATGATGTTACTAGTTATCCAATAAGCAGAAGTCATGGCGTTTTTTAGTTTATTATACAAGGTATTACGAAGCAAGCCCTGATTTTGAATATTTAAGGGAGAAATAAATAGAATAGACCAAAGAACACATTTCACCGATAATTGGGGACAGATGTTAAAAGAATCAATCGTACTTCGGGAATGAGAGCCCAAAACGGAGTTGGTCGAAGAATCCTAGTCGGAGGTCTATGCTTTACCATGGATGATAGATGTAAGTTAATTTTACACTGAATGAAGTTAAAAATCAGCAACACAATGGTTCAGAGGTGAGATGTTCAACATGAGACCGGGCGAACACTCGTTTTAGACCTGGTACTATTTGGAATTTATAATGATGAGGAAAGCACCTAACTGCGTCACAAGACAAGCCCCCACATGGAATCCTCAAGGCCAAAGGAGGAGAGGAAGACCAAAGAACACATTACGCCGGGAAATGGACATAAACATGAGAAAAATGAACAAGAATTGGATGGAACTAGAAAAGAAGGCCTAAGACAGAGTAGGTTGGAGAATGCTGGTCAGCGGCCTATGCTCCATTAGGAGTAACAGGCGAAAGTTAAGTTAAGATGTAATTTACCAGAATAAAACGAATTTCTACAATAATATTGTTTGTTCATCAATAGGAATTAATGCAGAGTAAAATATTGAATTCATTCAAAGTGATAGATGTTTAACGCAATACTTATTTACATTCTGGGAATTTCAGTCATAACTCCGCCTATAGCTACTACGGGTCCCAAGCATGAGTAAAGGCAAAAGGTTAAGTGTGAGGTCGGCAATCCCATCCTTTAGAAAACAACCTTGCCAAAAAAACGCTAACCAGAATAAGTGATTTCAGTCAGATCTATCCATTCAACATGACATGAGTTAATTAATAATCTCTGAGGAGAAAATTCATATACAACAGTGGAACATTTTCATAATGTAATTCTTACGCAGATAAACATTTCAGACGTTTTTGACATTGTATAATTTAGTGGGATATAATGTGGTGGTAACTATCACATTTGTTATTGATTCATGTATTATCAATCTAAATTCGATTTAGTAGAGTATAATACAACTCCACCTCGAGTCCGTCCGGGAGCTGCTGCCGGTCCCAAGACCGGATAAAGAAGGGGGGTTGGACATAGGGTTAGCGACCCCATCCCGTAGAAAACTAAATCGCTAAAAAAACGCCAACCAGAAAAAAATTATTCCAACCTTCTGAACTCTGCCCTGGGAGTCAGAAAGTCTTCATTTAGGAGAGTTATGACACCTCATGATGAAAGCCGAGTTCCTTCGGAAGTTACGAGGACGATGTCCCTTCTGACAACCAGAGCCACCATTTATTTAAGTACGTGGAATACTAGTTCAATGTGGGAGACTGGAAGAGTCTTCCAAATTGCTGCAATACAAAATCTGCCTGATTATTACTTCAGGTTCTCTCAAATTTTATTTCTTCAAATATAAATGTAGACAGAATCGGAACGTTTTCCTTTCATATACAGTAAGTAAATCAGACAGTTACATACACCGTAGAATCTGACACATGTGAATTGGTTCAAATTACCATCTTATATTAGCACAGCAATATCAAATATTTTCAAAACAAATACCAGAATAGTATTGTGGTGCATGCTACTTATATCGATGTAAGTAGTATATGACGCGAGTCAAAAACGTAGTGTCTGGCAGCAGAAGATAGGAAAAAAGATCAAGAAAGGAAGGATGGGAACACAATGCAATTTGTAAGAAAACGCATAAACAATAAAATAAGAGACAGTGGATTGATGATTGCAACAGGAACAGTTCGGTTTGATATGATGGATTGATATTTTGCAATCTAACAATTTATTATGGTGTTTTCCTATTTTAACAAGTAACTCTGTAATTCCGTGTTCAATACATTTGATTGTCCCTACCCGTGTTCTGTTTTCACTACGGCATAAGTAATAGAAAAGATTATATAGGGACATTCCCCGTACTGAAGTTTTAAGCGACAAGAAATGGATGCATCTATGTCATTACAAATGATTTTAAACTGTCACAGAAAGTCTCTAATCAATAGTTTCAATAATCCGATAGACTTTAACCAGATAATCTAAAGACATTAACATAGTTCAGTCCATTTGTCAACGTCTTCCTAGACTGGTACCCAAAAAAATAAGCTGAAGAGTTAGATATGTCTTATTATTAATTCTGTTTCATTATCCCAATATAAATTATGAAAATAATCCTACTTACCAGTTATTTCTTGATTATGATTAACAGACCACATTGGAGCTTGTGAATCACTAATACTTTGTGTAAATAATCCACCAGCTACACTAATCAATTGTTCTTGTGTTGTAATCAATATACGTAATGCTTGTCTAGATGAATTATGTAATTTAGGAAAATTTTTATTTGTTTGTTTATCATGAATAGTAGTAACGAATTCATCATGATCATCACGATCATCATCATCATCATCGTCATCAATATTATGAACACGATGTTGAAATGGATCACAATTTAATCCATGTAATTGTTTTCTTGTTGTTAAGATATTCGATTCACGTTCAGCTGTTGTCCATATATAACAACCACGTTCTATATTATCCGTATGCTCTTAGTAACAAAAATGAAATAAATATTCAACATAATAATAATAATCAATAATAATAATTTTTTTTTAATAAACAATAATCAATAAACATCAAAATGTAAACCATTCCCCCCCTCTCCTTCTTAATTATTATTTTTTTTCTATTTTTTGTCCAAATGAATAGAAAGAATAATTCAATTGAAGAATTATATCATCAATTAGGTTAACTTTACATAGATACTAAATTCTTTATATTACCATGGCAAATAAATACTACTTATATAGTGATTTAATCCATATATACATATTATAATAATAAATCCATCCATAGACTAGGGAATGAACAATTGAGAATAGGAATGAATGAATGCCAAGTTTTTGCACTAATCTATATATATATTTAAGTAATAAGGAAAGAAAGAAAACTGAAATGTTTTAATCGATTAGTTTCTGTAAATGATTTCATCGATCAATGGGTAAGTAAGTAAGTAAGTAACTAAGTAAGTAAGTAAATAATTTCTAAATAAGTAACTAAGTTTCATATTCGTTATTGAACAACCCCTATCATCATCTTCCTATTTCAATCATTCAATTCATTCTTAATCGTTGAACAGACATTCTAACTAAAGAATATAGATACATCTATCTATCTATCCATTGTTGAACTGACAGTCTTTAATGATTAGAAAGAGTAATAGTAGTAGTAGTAATAGTAGTAACTAGGTTGGATGGAAATTTGAGAAATGAATTAGAATTGAGATTAACAACTTATGATTGGTTGAAAATATTGTTTCTAATTGTGTATATACATATGTAGATAATATGGAAATATGATTAGTTGTTTAATGAATAAAAGGGGAATGTACATATGGATAGATTTGTTAATAGAGAACTTATGCCAGTAAAGTTAATCGGTCTGATTTGGATCTGTCTTATCAACTTTAAGTAAAGCAACAACAAAAAAAAGTGAAATGTGTAATAGAGAATTAGGACAAATTTAGAACATAAACGTGATTCAATAATGATCATCATTTTACAATCAGCTCAAAGTATTTTTAAAACATTAACAATTACTATCTACTACCATATCCCTTGTTTGTGTGTGTTTGGTGGTGGAGGAGGAAATCACTCTAGTGTACTTTCAGGAAAAATATGCTATATTGACAAGTTTCAAGGATGTTAAAATGACCTTGTGTAGGTGAAGTCAGTCATTCATCAACGGGTACTCAGGTGATATAAATAAGTAAAATATCCTGATAGTTGACATCATGAACTGATCCTTATTTAATAACCACTGAAGACCAGTAGGCATTGAATAACCATTTTGTTCTTGTATGAAACTGTTAGGCAGTGAGCATGTACGTCCCCAACACTGAGGACCGAACCTAGGACTCTCGGATTCGCATGAGAAATTTTATTCTTTAGGCCAGTGAGTTGGCATCCATTGATGTTAATGTTTGACTTCAATCAGTTCAATATCTTGAGGGTTGCACAATATTATGAGCTGATTGGAGTTAGACATTAACACTGCTGACTCCCAGCTTAGAGATACAGTGGTCAAGCGTCATCGGGCGAGACTAAAGGCCCTAGGTCCGATTCCGGAGTCCATGATCATGGGTGCCAACCTCTGAGGAATACTATGCTAGGATGAAACGGCCGTCCAGTGCTTCAGTGTTTTCGATGGTGTTCTAGTTTTGATCCGTTTGTGATTTCAACTATACAAGTTCTACATTAACGACAATCTCTCTATACTTATAATCACTTATTACTTATTCACTTACGCCTGATACTCCTCGTGGAGGACCAAAGGCCGCTCACCATCACTTTACATCTAACCCTGTCCTAAGTAATCCTTTCCAATTTTTCCAATTGCTGTTCATCCTTTTCACGTCTGCTTCCAATCCTAGACATAGTGTTCTTCGGCCTTCCTCTTTTCCGTTTTTCTTCAGGGCTTGCCTCGTAATGCAGTTCGGTGATTTCTTCGGTGTATGTTCTACCCACTTCCGACATCTTTTTCTAATTTCCTATTCAACTTGAAGCTGGTTTGTTCTCTCTCACAGAGGGCTGTTGTTAATGATATCCGTCCAACGGATGTTGAACACCTTGCGTAGACAACTATTTATAAATAATCGTACCTTTTTGATGATGGCTGTAGTAGTTCTCAAAATTTCAGGTCCGTACAATAGAAGCGTCTTGACCTTTGAACTCAAATTTGTGACTTTGATGTTTTGCTGACAGTTGTTTTGAGTTCCATATGTTCTTCAACTGCAGGAATGCGGCCGTTTCATTGCCGATCCTCGCCTTTACATCTGCATCTGACTCTCCTTGTTCATCGATGATACTTCCCAAGTACGTGAAAGATTCCACATGATACAGAGTTTCTCCGTCATGTGTGATTAGTTTGTTGTTTGTGTCGTACTTGAGGGTTTTATTTTCTTCTTAGTGTATACAGAAGCCTACTCATTGAGAGGCTGTTACTACGATAGTTCTCTTCATCTGCATTTATTCGTATGTATGGGATTGGAGGATCAGGTCATCTAAAAAGTCTAAATCTTAAAAATTGATTCTGAGTTGTTTATTGTATTCCATGCTCCCATTCAGATGTCGAGGTCTTCAATCACTTATTACACTAATGTCCAATGACAAGTTACATCAGGATTGAAAATCTCTCTTATGATTTACGGTTAGACGTACGACTGACAACTAGGGTTATAATTTGGTATTAACATCGTTCGTTTGGATTAAGATTATGAATTGATATCAGAAGTTAAGGGAAAGTTTGGAAGGATGCGTTAAAGACAAACAATAATGATAATAGGAAAGAATAAATTGAGTGAATAATATTGTAGTAATATTAATGAGTATTTAGACAGTTATTGCTTTCCTTTTAAATACATTTATTTACATATATGTGACATAATGAGGAATGTTCCATTCATTCTACTCATAGAGATAAACAACTTTCCACAATCTTTTTGTAAGCAACGATGGATAGTGGCTAGCAGTGGAATCTAGGACGCGCATTTCGTCCTATTTGACACTCGCCAGCTGGATGTACCTGCATCTAAAACTTGTTAATGTTCACTCTGGGATTCGAACCCAGCACCGTTCGCTTCAAACGCAATCGCGCCGTCCAATCAGCTATTGAGTCCTGATATCGCTTGCCTGTGCAATGGGGTGAATTTAAATTCGCTTGGTATTGTTTGGCTTGTATCTTCCTATTGAGGTTTCCATAATGTTAATGTCAACTATCAGATAGTATCATATTGACATGGAATAGTTATTACTTTCTCTTTAGTTTTCAGTTCTTCTTTCTATCTCTCTCTCTCTCACTCTTTCTCTCTAATCAAGATTAGTCCATAATGATAATGGATAAATTCTATAGACTAATGAAAATGACAATTTTTCTTTACTCAAAAATGCATATGCTACTTGGATCGACAAATATAAGTAGTATATAAGACCTATTTAAAGTAGACTACCTGGGAGTAAAAGAATGAAAAAATCGAAATTGTGGAGAACAAGGATGAAGGCACAATGAAGTTTGCAAAAGACAACTGATCAAAGGTGTGCATACGTAGTATTTAATGTACGGTTTTTATATTTTATCAAGACATTCTGTAATTTTTATATTAAAGTTGGAAAACCCTCATTCCAAACTACTGATGCACATGAGCTCCAGGATCCTGAAGGAACAAATGACGCATGAACCAATCGTTGGTCACTGGTTACCATGGGACTGCATCTTTTTATGTTGCTCCACTATCTCTTGAATAAGAACTTTATGTCTTGGGCACCGATTGTGGCCCCTCAGAAAACAACGTACTTTGATCTGGGCACTCGGGTGGTATTATATCTCAAACACACTCAAGTGACTTGTGTGAGGCATTTGTATTCGGTTCCGCTTTGTATCATTACTTATGTGTTCAGTCACTGCAAGTGGTTCTGCTAACTGTTATTACGCAAACAGAATTTGAGTAGTTTATATATGAATAGATGATTAATTCGACTATTTCATCCATTATGCAAACTACATACCAATTAATCCTACTGCTCTTCTGTTACCAAGTGAATTTGATACTTGTGAATAATTGATAGCTTCAAACTTATATATTTGGTTTATTGAGTATGAAGCAGTTACTCACTCGTTGATATTGAAATAGAGTCTTGTCATATTATGAACTGATTGAATTTAGATATATTAACCCTTAAATACTAACTTAATTGTCTTAATTCAGAAAGCTTATGGTGCGACTTGATGATCCTGATTCCGCTTCCATGAATAGTCATACTTACACACTACAGAATAGTCCCATAGTAGACTGAAAAGATCATCCAGTTCATTCAAGTTTTCAATGATAGTCAAATTGAATAAAATCTATGATGTAAACGATGACATTCAACAATTCCCACAACAAACCTCGTATATTAGAATGAAGTATGAGTAGATCATAGAACATTTAGAAATAAATATAAAAATCTTACCTGTAATAAGTTCACGATGGGATGTGAAATATAATTCAACACAACCAGTTGATGGAAAAATTGTCTCTACAATATAAATGAAAACACATTTACATGGTAATCTACTGATAATGATATAAGTAGTATGTTGTAAAGAATGAGCTTTAGTTGACGACCTACAAATTTGATGGAAATATGCAGCTAGATATTTTGGCAGGACTCTAATTCAAGGATGAGCCAACTATATTTAGGATAAAAGCACTAAGATTCTGATGTGAAATTTATCGGTCAGTTCGTGGTAAAAATAGTAAATCTAATGCCTGACGCTAACTCCAGTGAGACTATAATTTATGAATGAACCAATCAGATTTGGCATAACAGGTGATGGATTTTGGCACGAAATTCATTCATACATTTGGTTAAATAGCGTTTTGCCGTTTTAGCTGATATCAGTTCATGATGGTAACCGTAAATCTAATTCCTAACCGTAACCATCAACTGTAAATCATAATCTTTATTCTTTATACATAGATGAACATCCTAAGGTCATTTTAGAGTTGCTTAAAGGCCGTTCATAAATTATAGTCTCACCCTAACTCCTTATCCTGGTTCCTTACATTACTTTATAACCTTGAATTATTAAGTAGTTTAAGATCCTCGAGGTCACTTTAATGTCTTTCAAAGTTCTTCCATAAGTTATTGTAACTTACAGGGTTTGTAATACTTGATTGTTCCAAAACAGCTATGATGATGATGATGATGATACGCTGTATGATTGTGTGTAGTCTTCACGATTGATCGATTGGGTGGAATATTGATTGTTCGTACTGGTTCATTACCTAATAGATTATTGAACAAGTAGAATTCTGAAGGTAATTCATTAAGTTGTAATAATCTTTCGGCTGTTGTGTCTTTTACGAATGTGTTACAATTGATTGATCACTGAATTGTGATCAGTGTCATGTTTATTTAGATTTTTAAGGTACAGATGGAAGTCTAAGTAGTTTGACTTTTTGTTCACCACAACGATATACTAGATGGTTGAATATAATTGAAAGTTAACTGGCCATTTGTGTTAGGTCCTTCTTAGTTCAAATCGAATCTTATAGACCAACTTGCAGTGTGGTCAGTAGTTTAAGTGATTAGAAATTTCGTGCATTATGTTGAGATAAGAGGATGGTTGGTTGCTGACGAGTGTCAAGTAGCATGAAACTTAGATCCAGGGTTTCCTGTTGTCTATCTCCAACCAACATTTCACTTGCGTTCAATGATATTTGAATTGGAGGTGAAAGTTGAATATTAGAAGTTTCTTTCATCCATTCCCCCATGTATTACCTGGATGTACCTAAATCTCAGTGTTTAAGTTCACACTGAGACTTGAATCGAATGTCCATTAAACTACTAAGTCCAAATAGCAATTGATCTGTTGAACAGAATGAATTATCTTTTATAATACTTTGGTTTCCTATCCACATAATCTCTGTCTGCATCAAAAATGATTAACTTAGAACTGGTTCTCAATGCCTCATCAAACGTATTCATCACAGGGAAGAGGCATTATAAGAGAACGCATTTCAGTAACTTGAAGTGGTTATGATAAGTTGAATGCTAACATGATTAGTAGGCAACAAACTTGAAACTTGAAAAAGTATAAACTTTGTATATTCCAAATGTCTCATTAGCATTTCATTGTTTGCCAAAAGATTTTTTGAAACTGACTAATTAATTCAGTTCATTGTTATGACAAATTACTTCTAACATTTGTTAGCATGTACCATAAATGATACATGGAAACAATGTCCTTTTACTTCTCAAACGATGGATATGCAATTAAACAGTTCTGTACAGATGTAAATCATGACTTTTAATGACTGATGATTTGGATAAGTTTGTTGTATCTACTCAAAGATTTCTTCAAATCAATGTCTGTAAATCAGTGTTCTTAAATCTGAGTTTAGACAATGGTTAGGGTAGATTGGATAGACATTATACAGGTCCTATCATTGCCAAACTTTATCGACACTAGTATAGATACAGGTTTGATAAAAATTGAGGGTCGCCGAATTAAAAGTAGGAATCTCTTTACAAAGTTAATGACTGGTGAACAAAATCTTTTTAAGTAACTCTGATAGTCATCATGAGGGACTCTGTTTTGTCATGTTGTTTCGATATGCATAAGCTTGTTAAATTCTTTTTAGTATGGTAACTTATGATCAATGAACACATCTGTTGGATCCTTTCTCTAATCAATTTGATAACGAAGTTCAGTGAACTTATTGGAATCCTGAGCAGATCGTTTCCATACTGCCATCAGTAACAAGCACTTTTAAACAGAGTTTGACAGTGGTTATCAGTGTAACGTAAGACTCACGATTTTTCCTTCTTGAGAATTATCGGCAAGAACTTGAACCAAGTACATTTATGTTCAAATGTTTGCGACCTAATGGGAATGTCAAGTCGATCTGCTCAGAATGTACGTATACCGAAAAGAGACTGATCAGTCGCGATCCTAGACAATGACATTCGGAAGACTCAAATATGTACAAATAAATTAATATTCACCCTCGTTATACAACAGAGTAGCCATCTGGACTCAAAAGTTATATGAATAGTGCGTTGGCATTTTAAGCGAAAGTTACTTCGTTCTAGTCCCGGAGTGAATCCTGACCCTATGAGTCAGGCACATCCAAGTGACGAGTCCCAAATGGGTCGAAATGTGAGTCTTGGATTTAATTGTTCACCAATATCAAACTTTACTCAGTATTTTATTGCTACAAGTTTAGTCTTCATTCTTAATTGGTGAAGTGGAAGCTAAATCCGTCTCGATTTATTGACGTAACTAATATTATATTCATTTTTGTATTGGTTGTTTGAAACTTCACATTTACATTTAGGACTGCGATCGACCATTCTCTTTCTTGGCATATGATCATCCTGTGCGGATTACCACGATGTGGCTTTAAGTTATAGGCATTATGAGCAGAAATGAACAGTGACTAGCAGTGGAATCTAGAACGTGAGTTTTGTCCCACTTGGGTTAAATCAGCTGTACGAACCTGAATATCCAAGTTGATATACACTCTAGGACTCGAACCCAGTACCTTTAGCTTCAATCGGTGAAAAGGCTAGTGACTTAGGGCAATATGGAAGCAATCCACACAGGATGTATATACATAAGAGATTGATCAATTACCGTTCTAAACATCAATAGAAAGATTCAAACAGCCAATACAAAACAGAATTAAACTTCACTCCATTTCACAAGCCAGTGATTATCTTGACTCGGTAGCTAACAAGGTAACACGATGGTATTCACAACGATCAATACTGAGTTCTAATCACAGAGTGAACATCAGCTCTGGAATTCAGATACATCTAGATGACGAGTCCTTAACAGGATAGAACGCGCGTTCAAGATTCCACAACTATCCACCATCCATCTCTACTCGTAATTATAATGCTTCTTTAGACATATTGAATGGGTCATTCGATCTTAATTTGTCTATAATAAGCGTTGATTATTTGTTAAGGTATTCATAATCACACATAACAAACACGTACACAAAAACATCATCAGAACATTTTCCCTATTGCAATCTGAAATAATGTGTATTTTTATTCATGAATCGATTGATACTAGACCACCACTGAAAAGTTGGAAACTCACTAATGACTACTTTCAAGGTGAGTTCCCGTAGTTCTAGTAAGGAACCGTGATCGGTGTATTTAAATCCATATCAGGTAGAGACAAGTATCTACCTTAGACAATGGATGTATGGTTGCTCAGCCATTCATGAATCGATGGAAGTAAAACATTAAGGTTAAGCGTTCTTGCACGACACTGAAGGTTATGGGTTTAAATTCAAACTGTAGGAACATGGGTGCGCACTGCCTACTGAGAAGTACCATATTAAGAAGAAACGGCCATCCAGTGCTTCTAACATCAACGAATTCATGTTCTCAATCAGAAAACTTAAAAACCTCTACAATCGCATACTTATATATCCTTTTTATTCAGACAAGAAATTGACATATATATATATATATATATATATATATATATATATGGGGCGGAAACCTGGAGAACTACGAAAATCAGAAGATAAAAGTGTTTATTAACAGCTGTCTACACAAAATACTTCAAATCCAGACACTATCTGCAACAATCAACTATGGGAGAGAACAAACCAAATCTTAGCAGAGGAAGAAATCAGGAAGAAGCGCTGGAAGTGGATAGAACACTCATTGTGGAAAGCACCCAACTGTGTCACAAGGCAAGCTCTTACATAAAATCATCAAGTTCAAAGGAAAAGAGGAAGATCAAAGAACATATTATGCCGAGAAACGGAGACACATATGAGAAGAATGAACAACGATTGGATAAAACTAGAAATGAAGGCCGAGGACAAAGTGGGTTGGAGAGTGGTGGTCATCGGCCTATCCTCCTTTGGGAGTAACAGGTATGAGTAAGTAACAAAGTAAGTATGGACAAAATGGCAAATTCATAATAATATTTGATTTCTCCTTTTCTGGTTGTAATGTGATTCAATATAGTTTCTTCATATTTATCATCATAGTAACAAAAATTTATTGTTTGTTTAACGTTCATGAAAGGATGAATGTTTTTTTTGTTTTTTTTTCAGAGAAAAGAAGGAAATAAAGAATAAAAGAAACATTTTGGCTGATTGGAACCATTTTTTCTCTTTCAAGTCATGTGCTCTCTTTTTAAATTAGACATTAGAAGAAGAAAATTCGTTAAAATTTATTAGAAACTACGTATATACTACTAGTGTGGTATGAGCTACTTATATTCACATAAGTAGTATATAACAATGGTCAGGAATGGAGTGTATTTCAGTAGAAGATCAAGAAGGAAAGAACAAGAACGGAAAGTAATTGGTATGAAAATGTAGGAATAATGAAATCTGAGACGAAAGACTGATATTTGCAAAAGAAACAGTCAAGTTTGAGACAATGGATGAATGTTTTGGTAAATTAAATATTTACTGTATGGTTCTCAGATTTTAGTGAGATGGAGTTTTGTTCTCTGAGCTGGATGGTGAGATATTCTGTAATTTCTGTTAAATACAATCGATTCCCCCCACTTGTGTTCTTGTTCAATAAGCTAGTACAACAGAGACTGGGTAATAGTTCAGTTTTTCTCTTCTTTTTTCTCATAAATTCTTCTATACTACTAAGGGTAGTAGATAATCTAGTTTTTGGTAAGTCTTATTCTCAGAAAGGGTTTTGTGAAGATTTTAGGAATTTCACTGGTTGAAATCATGAGTCAACTGAAGCTAGACCACCACTAGTGACTGACTTCAAGAGGCACTTTCTGGAGTTCTAGTGAGTAGCCCTTACCTGTGAAGTTCAACCAGGTCTGTTGTGAGATATCAACTCACTGAAGACAATGGTGTACGGTGGCGCAACTTTGTGGATTAGTTGAAGTTAGATATTAGCACCAGTGGATGCCGGCTCAGTGGTCTAGTTGCTTAGGCGCCTGGTGCGAGATTGGTAGGTCCTGGGTTCGAGTCTCGCGGGGTGCGGGATCGTGGATGCGCACTGCTGAGGAGTCCGGTACTGGGACGAAACGGCTGTCCAGCGCTCCCAGGTTCTCCATCGTAGTCTAGCTTCAATTGAGTCATGATTTCAACCATTGATAATTCTTATTCATTTAGGAAGTAAAATTTTGACTACCTGAGATAAGCGGGATTTTACGGTGTGAAGGATCTAACCGTAAAAGTTAGAACTTATTGATCATAACAAATGAGACATATGAACCTTCAAGTCCTGTATAAATGTACAAATTTACTTTGGTTAATGAGTTCTACGGGATTAGGTCTCTTGGTATTGTTATACTGTTATATGGATTAGGTTTAAAGGTAATAATTCTATAAGAAAAATAACTACATTAAATTAAGTTTCTGGAAAGTATTTCAGCTTAAACACGAGTATTATTGATGGATTTTTGTTTTCTGAGCTGAATGGTTTGGTCGTGGAGCTTTCATCGTTCTTCTGAACGACATCATCAGCACAAACTTCAGATAGAAGTGAAGTGTTCGAATTTCTCCATATGTGTTTCACAGCCTGTTCTGTAAACCTCGATGTTGATTGGTTCTTGTTGACGTTAAATTTATCATTGTTTACTTCTTTGTTTTGGTTGTGCTTCCCATTGGTTTGATTTTTGTTCCAATATTTATGAATGATTTTCCTGATTGGTTGATAAAATGGAATGATTTAAATATATTTGTTGACTGCTGATTGACCTGAGTGCCAGGCTTCTAAAAATCCTCTGGTGTTTTTGGAGTTTCCTCTGTCTAAGATATCTAGATTTTCCCAATCGAATGAGTGTCCGCAGTTGTCCATGTGTATTGATATAAGTGAGGAGATATCATGGCGTTTAACTGCTAATTGATGTTCATGTAGGCGAAGGTGAAGGGAGCATCCGCTTTGTCCGATGTTCGCCGATTCTCTCCATCATCACAAGTATTATTGATGTGACTAGTGTAAACTATTGATGTTTGTGTTTGAGTGGAATATCTTTAGAGTATTCACACCAAAGACCTTCACTTTTCAATCATTACGATACTGAGATGACTTCAAGTGATGCATATTTTCAAATCTAACTGATTAATGATGAAGTACAAGGATTATTCGATATCATTAGAGACGACTATTCCATTCAAGGTATAGTTGAAGTCCATAAGTCACAACTTCACATCTGATCTTTTAGACTTAATCTCAAAGCAAATTAACATTGAATAGAAAGTCTTAATATTGTCGAGATGTTTTCTGAAGATTAGTTGGGCAAATTACAAATAATTAGAAATGAGAATTATCGGATTATAATCTAGTGACTTAATGGGTAATCATTTTTGCAGTGTCTTGAAGGTCTTGTTCCAATTGACAACTGGGTGAAAGATGGTCACTAATGAGGAGGGCTATACTTCAAAGCACTTGTTCAATACTTTCTGGATTTTATTAATACCGTCAATGTTATCAATCGATGGTGTGTGATACCTAGAAATGATAATCATCTCTACAAATCCAGTTCTACCCATTTAACTTGTTGACTTCCGATGTAGCTCAGCAGCTTAGTCGATAAAATTTTAAATTCCAAACAAAATGTACTGGGTTCTACCCTTTGTTGAAACACCACGAAAGGAGTGGTTAGATATTAAGTTATCGAGTTTTCTGTAGACGGAAAAACATGCTGCCCATATTGCACTACAAGTTTCCATCTAATCTGTATCTAACAAAAGTAGATGATGGTTAACATTGGAATCCAGGAAGCATACTTCATCCTATCTGGGACTTATTGACTTATCGATGTATCTGTATTCCAGTGTTAATGTTTCCTCTTGAACTCGAACCCAGTATTGTACACTTCAAACGTCATCGCATCGCAAGCAATAATGAAAAGCTTCAAATAATCAATGACATTCACAAGTCGCTAAAGTTTGGAATGACAAACTTACATTATGATATAAATAATAATTGAATTGCAGTAAAATAAATTTCAACTTACTCTCACATGCCTCGTCTAAATCAACTTTGAAAAAGGATAATTTTTCAGCATCCACTGCGCATGTATGAAATTGAGCTCTGTAAAATGAAAAACAAACATTAATGATTGACATGGAACAATGTCTTGTTTTAATGGTTATTTAGGACTTCAATTGATCAGCCTATTGTTGGCATATGTGTGTCCTATGCAGACTGCTTCGATATTGCCTGAAGTCACAAGCATTATAAAAAAAGATGAATGGTGACTAGCACTCGAGTGTAGGACAAGTGTTTCGTCCTATTAGGGACTCGTCAGCTATATGTACTTGAATCCCAGAGTTGATGTTCACGTTGGGACTCGAATACAATATCGTTCACTACGAACACTTCACTTCAACACGTAGCTACTGAGTCATGATAACCGATTGCTTGTACAATAGTGTGAAGTTGAAATTCACTTGGTATTGTTTACTTGAAGCATCCTATCGATGTTTAGGACTGCAATGGACTTGTCTTTTATTACCAGAGAAAATCCTCAATATCATTCAAAATTCACACGAGGGACTACACTACAAAGTCGCGTATGGGAGACAATTATCAGACGCATTCCATGTGAGCACCGAAGTCAGACAAGGCTGCCTACGCTCCTAATTTCTCTTTCTGCTGTTGGTTGACTAGATATGAAGATCTCGATATCTGACGGGAAGCACAGAATACAATGAACAAGTTGGATGCAACTAGACGATTTGAACTTCGCAGATAACCGAGCTCTCATATCTCATACATAACAACAAATGCCGGTAAAGGCAGTCACTGTAACAGCAGTCTCTGAATCAGCAGGTCTAGACATACACAAGGGAAAAAGCAACATTCTCATATAGAACTTATGGAGCACCGAATCAATCACACATGTTAGAGAAGCTTTGAAAGTGGTGGAAAGTTTTACGTACATGGAGGGGTCGTATACAAATGTGAAGGCAAAGATTGGTAAAGCAAGAATAAAACACTTACAGTTGAAAAAAATATGGAACTAAAAACAACTGTTTGATAACCAATATCAAAGTGAGAATCTTCAATATGAACGTCAAGACAGCTCGTTCTACTGTACGGAGCTGAAACTTTGAGAACTACTACAACGATCATCAAAGAAGTATAAGTATTTCTAAACGATTATTTACAAAAGATACTCAGTGTCCATTGACCAGTTACCATTAGCAAAAAGACAGCTTCCAATTGGAGAAGAAACTAGGAGAAGACGATGGTAGTGAATAGGACACACAATGAGGGAATCAACAAACTACATCACGAGGCAAGTGCCAACTTGGAATATAGCAGATTTGTAGTTGAAAAACCAACTATTTTTAGTTAACTTATGTGGAATTGGAAAATAGACATCTCCAGCTGTTGGTACTGTTATATCCTAACTAAGAATAAATGAATGGTAACTTCTAAGAGTTAGTTATGAATTGTTAATATATGTATTCTTACTGTATAATTATTGTGTAACTACATATATTACTCTTGAGTAACTAGATTATATTTATTTATATTTCTCTTCTTATAAGCTTTCAGTTGATCTTTTGTCTATTACCATACGATACTATTTTTAAGTTATTCACAAACAATCAGTTATAGTCTCCCACACTCAATCACTTTTGACCTGATCTTGTATAATTGTTGTCTTCTATTTGATTGTGTGATTTGGTCTGGTTTGATTGTATATGACCTGCGTATGTTTGAAATATAGGATTCATACAGTGGAAGCTGAGATTGTGTTCTGAAATCAATGGGTAAGGCAAGGGAAGAAGAACCATTCAGGACTAAAAGTTGACTCTAGGCTGCTTGTGCTGGGTCCAGATATTTATTGGTTTGGCACAGTGCCAAAGTCGTACAAATCAGTGTTTTGCTTAGCCATCTTGTCACGTGATTAATGACGGGCTATAAAACACAATACGAGAATCCACAGTCGAAATTCAATCAATAGTAAAGGTGAATCGGAGAGAAATCATGTGTTAAACGTTTTGAACACTCCGAAGACCATGGTATTAGATCGCATCTTTTTAAAATATTGTTTTCTACTACTTTATTAAGTTATAGTAGTATAAATACATTAGGATGTTATGTATGGAATCTCACCAAAGTTTAGGAGTCTGAACAATCGATTTGAAGTGGTTTTTATTTCTGTAAATTTTGTTACTTTAAAGTAGATAAGTAACCAATGGTTTGTGTATGACCATAGCATGACTCATTACAATCTTTTTGCGTTTACTGTTTCTCCTCCATCATCGTTAAATGAATTATTCTATATCACCTGGATGTACCTGCATCCCAAAGTGGACATCTACTCTGTGATTCAGGTATATCCAGCTGACGAGTACCAAATAGGACGAAACGCGCGTTTAGGATTCTACTGTTAGCCACTATCTATCTCTGATTATAATGCTTGTGAATTAAGGCAATATGGAGGCAATCCGCACAGGATGAAATTAGATGATTGATCATTTGCAGTCCTAAACAACAATGGGAACATACAAGTAAAACAATATCAAGGGAATTATGAAATACTCCGGAAGAACTTCAGAGAACATAGTACACATACACATACGGGAGTAAGATAGATGCATTGATGTAAATTTATTTGATTTCATACACCATTTATGATTAAATGATTATACAACTGGCAGAATATTTTGAATGTGATCGTTAGATAATCTGAGACTAAATTTCTATGGTAAACGTATAGCACAAGGAATTCAGCATAGTTGTTGTGGAGATTGTTAATTTTTTGATTGAAATCATGAGTCATTTGAAGCTAGACCACCATGGAAAACCTGGAAGCACTGGATGGTCGTTTCGTCCTGGTATGGGACTCCTCAGCAGTGTGCATACACGATCCCGCACCCCGCGAGATTCGACCCCACGATCTATCAGTCCCGCGCCAGGCACTTAACCAACTAGACAACTGAGCCAGCATCCAATGGTGTTTACGTCTAACCTTAACCAATCCTTGAAGCTGCGCAACCATCTTCCGTTGTACTGAGGTAGACACCTGTTTCTACAAAGATCAGCTCCACTGCTCACGGCTTCTCACCAGAACTTCGAGAATTTTCTTACAAAGCTAGTCACTAGTGAGCACATGATAATTATCAGTTTATGTGTTGTGGAATTCGTTAAGTTTTTGATTGAAATCGCGGGATCGTGGAACCACACTACTGAGGAGTCCCATACCAGGACGAAACGGCCGTCCAGTGCTTCCAGGTCTTCCATGGTGGTCTAGCTTCAAATGACTCATGATTCAACTAAAAACAAGGAATTCATAAGAATAAAACTTTAGTTGAACAAATGGGATAAAAACAAAAAAACAAATAATCAACTCACCGAAATAAACATTCTTGAAGTTGTGTTGAAAAGTTTGGTTGTATGTAACAAGCGATTAAAACATCACCATGCAATGGTAACACTGGTTCAATTGGAAAAATGTATCGTTCCACTCGAAAATTTACATTTGGACATCTAAACAATATTTGGAAATAGGGGGTGATATGACAGCAAAAATAAAATTGTGAATAGCCGCATAATCAATTATATAGCAAAATTATGCAAAACATTTCATGTACAAGTAGCCTCGCTTTCCTTTTACAGTTACACAACTTAGAGCATCTTTTGGATGTAAGTTGATTGAAGTTAGCTAGTTGAAAACTATGGACTTAGATTTGATACGAGCTCAGACTTGTCATCAGGAATGATATTCAGGTTCATGACATCCAGAATCACGGTCTTAGATGTTACCGATCAGCCATAAAGACCACCAGTGATCTCATGAAAAACAAGTATTTTCACACTGAATGATCACTGTGTAGTAAATAGTGTTGTGTTGTCCCGATTATCACTTAAGTTACAAAACTTCATGAGAATTAGTTAGAAAGATAGCTTTCTATTTACAGATCATGATCTAAATAAAAGTGAATAAATCAATAAATTAATATACTCACTAGTGACTGGCTTCAAGAGGTATATCCTGGAGTTCTAGTGAAAAATAGTGACCAGTGGAGTTCAACCGGGTCAGTTGTGAGATAGTAACTCACTGATGACAATGGTGGATGTGTCGCTCAATTTCGTAGATTAGTTGATGTTAGACATTAACACCGTTGGATGCCGGTCAGCTCAGTGGTTTAGTGGTTAAGCGCTCGTGAGCGAGACTAATAGCACCTGGGATCGAATCCCGCAGGGCGGGGGCGTGGGTGCACAGTGTTGAGGAGTCCCACAATAGAACGAAACACTTCAAGTAAACTTTTACGCTGATGATGTCGTTCAGAATAACGATGAAAACTCCATGACCAAACCATCTATCTTAAAGAACAAAACTCCGAAAGAATCATTCATTTGAGTTACAAATCTTCGCCATCACCTTGACGACTAAATATATTATCAGAATTCAAAATATACAATGTAAATATATTTCAGATCATGAAATATTTTAACTAGTAAACTGATAAATGAACAGACAAGCGTAGTTACTAATTTTAGTAGTTGAGATCATGAGTCAATTGAAGCTAGACCACCATAGAAATCCTGGAAGCCCTGGACGGAGGTTTTTTCCTATTGTAGAACTCCTCAGTAGTGTGAATCCACGATCTGTCCTAGTAAGATTCTAACCCAGAATCTATCAGTCTCGCGTGCGGACGCTTAACCACTAGCTAACTGAGCCGACACATCAACCATTGTCTTCAGTGAGTGATGTCAACAGGGAAACAAGGAGCCCTGACAAACTACGAAAGCTATTTTTCGGGACGTTACTTCAGTTTATTCAAATCTTGTAAAACATTACCATTTATTTTTGTCCCTAATCTATTCTACAGAACATAAGATTTCGTTCGATGTACGATTCCGTTGTCATAACTCTTTTTGTTCCGAAGCTATTGTAATTTAAACATAATATTTGGCACCCTATTTTCTACGCTAATTCCCGGCTTTGGACACAATTGTATCTTTCCTAATTATTGTACGTTGTGGTCGGCTTAGTCAATTATTTATTCATGTACTTTTATACACTAATCTGAAATCAGGATATCGGGAATAGTGTTCCAGTTGTCTTATTTTCTTTCTCATTCACGTGTTTGTCAGCCAATTAGGTGATAGAATAGTTTTCTTCTCTCTCTACCCCACTTCGAACTCACGCGTCCTAGCCTCAAAGTTAAGCTGGTCAGCCTATCGTGCCAAGGTCTTAATCTGGATTAGGTAAGGTATCCTCAGCACTAAAAGTGGATAGACAGACCAAACGACATAATAGTGAGTTATTATTTCACAACAGATCTGGTTGAACTCCACCGGTCACTATTCTCACTAGAACTCCAGGACATACCTCTTGAAGTTATAGTCACTAATGTATATATATACTGATTAATATTCAGAAGAAGTTTTGTTATAGAAAAAACTTACAGAACTCTTGTAGTATGCATTAAATTTAAATTTTGATAAATTTTTAAAAAAAGACCACATTCCTTATCAACAAATGTTTGAAAATGTTTCAATGATGATAAATCACTAAATGTCGTTTGATTAGTTTGCTGCTGCTGGTGGTGATAGTGTTGTTGTTGTTGTTGTTGGGGGTGGTGATGTTGTTCTTGTTGTTGTTGTGTAATCATTGTTGTTTTCAATAAATCAATTGGACTAGAAAATATTTGATCCCATCTTTTAATATGATCAATATCATTATCCTCTTCATCATTATCGATTACATTTAAATGATTATTAATCAATAAATCATTTTGATTGATTGATGATAATAATGTTTGTTTAATATTACATTGATTATATTGATCATTATATTTATGATTAATTGATTGTATTTTATTAGTGATAATTTCATCTGGTTTAGCATATAATGAATTTTCATTATTTTCTATAATTGCATCTAATGATTGACCAAGATAACGTCCTCTTGATGAATCACGATATACAATTGTATGTAAATAAACTAAACGATCTTGTAAAATTAATGCACCAGTTAATAAACCAGAAAAATATCCAACATATCTAAAAGAGAATAAAATAAAACAAAATAAAACAGTACAGAATTGAGTTTGATGAGACTCTAATTGATGAACGAGTCAATCAGAATCGTTTGAGAGATTTCAAGATTACGACGCCAACTTTAGTGCTTAGTGGTAATGTACGATGGGTTCATAAGGAATTTGTTTATAAAACGTGATCATTGAACGGCTATAACAAATAGAACGACGAGACTATAATTTGTGGACGAATTAATCAGATATAAGATAATAGATCACGGATTTTAACGCGAAATCCTTTCATCCATTTGGCTAAATAAATTCTTGGCATTATAGCTGATGTCAGTTCGTGATGAAAACCCCATATATAACTCCTAACTAAAGCAAATTATGACAATTATTGCGAAGTGGATAATAAAAGTACCAGTAACACTGGTTGCAGCCAGGTACTACAATATATATGGATGTTTGAAGAGCGTACAGACTCCTACATAAGCTTGGTTATGTGCATCGTGTCGTTATCAATAAGTAGAATTTTGTACACTCAACAACCGGAGTGCACATAATCAATATTGAAGCTATGTGATCGAGGTTGAAAGAGCATTTGAGAATTTATCATGGCTCCAGAGTCCGACTATTCTGTAGCCGCCGTATGTATGATTTCCTCTACTGCATGCATTACAATTTTAGAACCTCTGAACCTCTTTCTAACCTTGACAAGTTTTTGAACTACGTATAAGAAGTGTATCCACTTTATTTCCTTGGTATTGTGTAACATATTTTTACTCCATACTGACAACTTGCTGATTGGCTAATATTTCTCAAGGTCACTGAAGATTCGTTCAAAGGTCGTCCATAAATTAGAGTCTTGCCGATGATCAATTATATATGATGACCTTTGAATGAGCCTTAAGTGACCTTGGGGAATCAGAATTCAAATAGATACACTACTTTTATATGATTCAAAAACTTATCATAGTGAGAAAGAAGTTCAGAGATTCTTAAATCGTAATATATACGATAGAGGAAATCATCAATATGACTCCATAATAGTCGATCTTTGAAGCCATGATAAGGTCGTAAAAACTTCCAACTACGATCACATAGCTTCAATATTGTTTGTTCATACTCCGGTTACGGAAGCTTGTCATTTTTATTACGTATATATCTCGACAATACATATACCACTTAACAGCTGAAGCTTTAGTAAAATCTGCAAACCTTACAGCTAATATTATCGCAATTCGCTTTATTCTCAATCTGGATCAAGTGAAAAAAAGTTCCTATTCTAGAAGATTTCTCCCTCCAATATCTATTATATCGAAAGACTACCTCATCACGTTAGTCTGCACAAGGTCCATACGTCAGTTGATTATCACAGTTATAAATAAAGGAACTTCTTAATAGTCCCATTTATTGTAGCCGCTCAATGATTATGTTTTCTCTAAAATTCGCTGTGAACCGATCGTACGTGAGAATCATGTACTGAAATTAGCTCCGTAACCTTGAAATCCCTCAAACGCTTCTGATTAGCTTGTTCATAAATTATAGTCTCGTTGTTATATCTAACTGGTCATTTTGATTTTGGGTTATCATATCATAAAACAATTGACTGGATAATATTCAAGATTGGTATCAACTATCAATTTAAAACTTTCATAATCATTGTGAGTATATAGATGTAGAGATTGTACGTTTCCATTGAATTGAAGAACTGGACAATGTTTAACCATTATTGAGAACCGGCAAGCTCTGGATGGATATTCTGTCCTCGTATGGAACTCCTTGGTAGTGGGCATCTGTGCGTGGGAATCGAACCCAGGACATTCGGTTTCACTCGCGAACGCTTAACCTCTAGATCACCAAGACGCTATCTAACGGCGTTAATGCTTACTATTTATTTATTTAATTATTTATTTGAACACATAAATATTGGTACAAAGGGGCACCGGATACATATTCACTACACAAGTCACTTGAGTTGTGTGTGCTGTAATACTGCCTGGATGCTGAGAACCAAGCAGGTGGTTTTCTCAGGAAGCTACACCTGGAGCCTTCGACCTAAACGTCTGATCCACAAGCCAGTAGAGCAACTTTTGGGGACGCAGACCCATGGTAGCCGGTGATCAATAATTGGTTCATACGTCATTTGCTCCTTCAGGATCCTGGAGCCCATGTGCATCACTGGTTTATAAGGAAGGTTTTTCAACTCTCCTAGATAGACCCTCCGTGTCTATCAACCGGGCTAAAGCCTCTGCCAAACATTCGCTTTTTGTCCTCTCATTCTCGTAAACAACACTCCAGGTGCGAGAAAGCAATGAGTAAGACTTCCCTTGGAGTGGGTGATCATGTGAGATGGGGAGCTAACTCTTCCCATACTCAGCCATACCAAGGTATTTGTGAACAGGATTAATTTCATTCAATCCAAAATGTTGCATTGCCATCTCCTGTTGTCTTTGGTGCCTTACACCCGACACAGTTGTGCGATACCGTGGATTGACTGAGGTTAGACATTAATACTGAGTCAGTGATCTAGAGGTTAGCTGCTAGTACACAAGAATGAAGGTCCTGGATCCATATCTTGGGTACAGAGTCTTGAATACTGATTGCTGAGAAGTCTCATGTTGAAGCATAATAGCCGTCCAGTGTTTTCAGGTTTACATTGGTGCTCTAACACTGGTCGGCTTATGAATTTACTAAAATTCATATTGAACTGTAATCCACATTTCCAACCTTTCGTTTCAAATGTAAAAAATGTTTAAAATTTCGTCTTTAACTTCAATGATAATGCTCTTTTTGAAAGAGATACATGCTTCCCCTAAAGAAGAAGGAGAAATAAACTTCATATCTGTACAATCAACAGTTAAAATTATTTTGAATGTTTAATACTACTACTAACGTTTTAAATAGTAGTAATGATAGTAGTAACATAAATATGTTAAATCATGTCAACTTCATTGTTAGATAAGTAAATATTTATCCCTTTATTAGCAAATATTGACATAACCTAATTCAATTAACTTTTCTTTTTAACTAATAAAGTTACATTGACTTTTTTTTCTCGCTTTATCTAATTTCAAGTCTACCATTTATTTATGGGTATATTGAATTCATAGACAATGAGTTTACTTTTATAGTTGAAAGTATGAGTCCATGAAATTTAGATAACCATTGGAAAACCTGTAAGCAATGGATAACCGTTTCGTCTCAATATCGGACTAATCAGCATTGAGCATCCACAATCTCGCTCACGGGACTCGAACTCAGAACCTCTAGACTATTGAGTTGACATTTGATGATGTTATTGTCTAACTTCAAACAATTCACGAAATCGTGTTACTCTGTGCGTAGGACTCGTATCCAGGATCTTCGATCTCGTTCGTGAACGCAGAACCTTTAAACCACTGAATTTATTTTTCTTAGATAAACTTTTAAGAAGAAAACAGTATGATTATCTTCATTGATAATCAGTTTCTCTCTGAGTGATGTAGTTTGGTAACAATTAAGAAGAAGAAAAAACGATTCATTTAAAAGGCAAGATGTATGCCCGTTTTCTTTTTGTAGAATCCAAAGCGTTACCATATGAACATATTATAGCTCTGATGAAGATTGACAGATTGTCCGTCAACTCAAACTAACTTATGTTATAAAGTAAGACTTAGATTCTTTTTTAAAGTAGCATACATCAGTAAATAAACATGTTGATACACTTGAGTTCAATACATACCTACGTTGTTATACACTAATGATGAAGAACAAGCTACATTTAACTGAAACATTCCACTGATGATATTTATGACTGAATTTCGATCAATCTTTGTTGACTAATAAGTTACTGCATGTCATTAGCCCGGGTGAATGAGGAGGGTTGAGCAAAAGGTCAGAAACTCCACCCCGTAGAAAAAATCCTGGTAAAAAGCGCCAATCACATTAAACAAATTAAACAATTTAAACTCTGCCCCTGGAATTGAAAGAAGAATTATGCCGCCTCAGGATGAAAGTCGAAATTCTCCGAAAGTTACGAGACCGATGTTCGTTCTAACAACCAGAGTAACAATTTTTATAGGTAGATGGAACGTCTAGATAGTATGGGAGACCGGGAAGACCAGTCAAATAGCTGTTGATAAATGTTTATCCTATGAGGATTACATTAACATGAGAAAACTGTTCTCACAAGTATTATAAAATAGATTAATTCTGACTAAGATTGTGTTGTAATTCTAGGCCTGGTTAATCATCATTTGATTTATTCACCAATCGAAATACCACTTATTCCATCTTGGTACTGTGCTAAACCAATGACATTCTACCTGTATAAGCAGCCTTGCGTCCTTATCGATACTTTGTTCTCTCAGACCTATCAGTTAAGTTCAGAAAACCGATATCAGTTTCTACTATACGTATCACTTATTCCATATATACTTTGTTTATATATAAGCCAAACAGGCCATATCACACCATAAAATAAGAATTAACATTTGTACAAGATCAAACCAAAAAGTGACTGTACATGTGGAAGATCATAATCAATAAACAGAACATGACATAAGAATAGTAAATCATCATAATGAAGCTTATAATAAGAGGAATATAGATATGCATAATCTAATTACTGAATAGTTATATAATAGAAATATATATAGAATATTCATCCATTAATAGTTCACAGAAGTTACCCTTAGTTTATACTTCACTAGGATATAATACATTAGAATCTAGGATAAGCGTTACGTCCCATTTCTCACTCATTATTTAGATACATATGCATCTCAGTGTAGATGCCCATACTGAGGTACAAATATCATACCTGTTCAATATGTCAGTGAATACTTAGACTCATCAACACACTGGACAGTACATTGGATGAGTTTCAAATTTCCATGTGAACATCAACATTGAGATGTAAGTTCATCTAGCTATCGAGTCTCATACAAGATGAAACATGTGTCCTGAATTCAGCTTCTAACCACAATTCATCTATTTTTTTAGTGCATCACGAGACAAGCCCTAACTTGGAATCCTGAAGGGGAGCGGAAAAGAGGAAGGTCAAAGAACACATTACGTCGGATAATAGAAGCAGATATGAAAAGGATGAATAATAACTGGAAAGAGCTGGAAAGGATTGCCCAAGACAGGATTGGATGGAGAGTCCTAATGAGCGGCCTATGCTCTTTCATGAGGAGTAACAGGGGTAAGTAAGTAAGTAATTATTGCTTGTATGTTATAGGTAATCATATGTACTAAAGAGTACTGAATTCGTAATACTGTATTCCTTGAGATAGATAATTTAATTATGAAGGATCTATTGTTATTCGTGTTATATCTAGAGCTTAGATCTTTGATATACCAAGTACAACTTGATGAGTCGAACTCTAGAACCCTGGAAGTCGCAAGTTCAAAGACTGAAGACCAGTTGGAAAGAATCTTGTTCTAAAACAATATCAAATATCATACAAAACTCTCAGGTATTTATAGTTTTTAGTAAAGCAAAATCATTATTATAGTCATTATCCAATCAATATACGATGGTCTTTAGCATTTGTCCAAACAGGTAGCTACACGTAGGAATCGTGGAATGTTCTTCCGATAGATGATTGGATGGAATGTTTTCGATTCTTTCTAAAGTTCTTAGAGCTTTTTCAAGTTCACCTATGGGTCATCCTCACAGTTTTAAACAATAATATTGGCCAATACTTCAAATAGACTTCTCTTTTATCTTAATCAAAATTCTACTACATGATTTGATGGTATTCCCTATTTCTAACAACGACTTTTGACACAAAACTGATAGAAACGAATAGAAATCAAATATTTATGTATGATACCTGTTCGAGACTGATTAACTGTCTATCGTCATTTAGGATTGAATATGAATATTCTAGATCTCATAACGAGCAATCAGTCATTAAACGACTAAGTTGACATGTAATAGTTTCAAAACTACAGAGAATTTACCGTTGTGAAGCGATATTCCATTGTCGTTATCCATAGTTTTTTGAAACTTAAAATGACTGAACTCTACTGAATATAAATTCTCATTAGGAATCAAAAGATTTTGGTGGTGCACAACCAAACCATCCAGATCAGAGAACAAAACGCCATGAAAATCAACCACCTGAGTTACAAATCTCGACCATCTCAAGATGAAAGTGTATTATACAGATAAACTAGTAGAGATTGAAATTTTGAGTTTCAAGTTCGTATGAAAATTTAAATACAGGTAGATATGTTTGTAAAATATCAATGTTTAGTATGGAATAGATGGAATGTATCTAGCAGTGTCGATGAATGCTAATGGGCTTACGTTTAAGGATAAACATCAACTTTGAGCTATATGTACATCGAGCTGATGAGCTTCATGTGAGACGAAACGTGCGTCCACTGGATTCTACTTGTAACCACATTCCGTCTATTCTATATCAAATTGTGTCATAAGGTGGATTCAGAAAGACAATCACCACACAATGTATATATACTAACCAAGACTAATCAAATTTCTGTCGAAACACCAACAACGGGATAATTCTAATTTGAAACGTAATGAGATGTTTATATTGTGCAACAGTGTGAAGAGAAAATCCAACATTGATAGTAAGGTATATGATTTGTAGCATTGTCAAAGTGATGATGACAATGATTCATTGGTAAAGATGAAGAAACGATTTGTTGAAATTATCTCATTGTATTTAATTTCTCATTTGATATCTCATGATGTTGTTTAAATGATTCAGCCATGACAATAAATTGTCGGCCTTTTTTTTCTCTCAGAAACTAACAAATCGATTAGTACCTATAGACTTTGTCTTTGAATTCGAGTTTTCACATCAAATTAACCCCCTCCCCCCAAACTATCACCACCACCACTACCACAACTACGACACACACACACACAATGTAAACTTTTCGTTACTGATGTTAACATGAAAAATACATTTTACCAAATGAAATAATTTTGTTTAAGTAGATTTTAATAAATTCTCACACAATCATTATGTCTGTTATGATAAAATCAAATGAGTTAAAATGTTCAGTTTTATTCATTTGTTTGTCTTTCATAATAGTTTCTATATAGATCTATTGAAGGCAATTGAACTGGACTCAAATATACCGTGGTTCATTAAGTGTATTCTATATTCAAATTAATTCCAATATGGATACTGTTATATCCGAACGATGAATGAATGAATAGAGGATCTATTTATGTACTAATATGACATGTACATCTTTAATGTATAACCAGTAGCTGAGCGGATAACGCGATGGCGTTTGAAGCGAATAGTACTGGATTTAAGTCACAGAGTGAACATCAACTCTGAGATGCAGTTACATCCAGCTGACGAGTCCCAGATAGGACGAAGTGCGAGTCAAATTGGATTCCAATGTTAGCCACTATCCATCATTATATTATAAGTATATTCATATTCCTTGTGTTGTAAGCTTCCGTTTGACCTATTAATTATTGTTATCAAATGGAGTATTGCTGAGTTATTCTCAATTTATTAGTTACAGTCTCTCACAATCACAATTACTTTTTGAATTGATCTTGTACTATGGTAATTTTTGACGAGACTATCATTTATGGACGAAACAATCAGGTCTTGGATTTCAGCTTGAAATTCATCCATACTTTTTGGTTAAATAGAGTTTTGACATTATAGCTGATGTCAGTTCGTGATGAAAACACTAAATCTAATTCCTAACCTTAATCATCAACTTTAAATCATAACTTTAATTCATTACACTGGCTTACAATAATCTATTAGCCCTGTTAAGTAGGTGGACATTCTCAAGGTCACTTTAGTTCCATCATATTTTCATTTTATTGGTCTAGTCTGGTCTGGTTTGTTTGTATATAAATCCAGTGTAGGCTGATGTTAACGTTCTGGACAGAACCGGCTGTGTTAGGAAAGAAGTTACCAGTTAGAACACTTAATTGCTCGTACAGATTTATGCAATATTAATTTGGTCGTATAAGCTGATATCTTTGACTGGAGGTCGTATCACGTGATATAATTAATCGACCATAAGAATATAAACACTGTTGGATGTCGGGTTAGTGATCTATAAGTTAACTGTTCGCGCACGAGACCGAAGGCCCTAAGTTCAAATCCCGTGAGCGGGATCATGAATGAACACGAATGACGAGTCTCTGAAAAGGACAAAACGGCCACTCTATTCTTTCAGGTTTTCAATGATCTTAATCAAGATACAAAATTCATTTATAATAATGAATCTTAACTAGAAAAAGAAATGTTATATTTACCTTTTTTGTGAAGGATTCAATTCTCTAGCTAAATTATCTTCATAGAATTTTTTCAATATGGTATGTCCCAAGACAAGTTCATGTTTAAATCTATCAAAAAAAATATAAAAGAAAGAAATTGTAACTGGGTTTCATTTTTTTCTTCTCTCATTTCCTTTCATTTAAACATTACAAAATACATGTCATAAATCATTTTATAACATTACAAGGATCATATTGTATTGATAGTATCGGATCAAATGAATAGCCTAGATAGATACAACAGTATTTCATACTTACTGATCAATCATTATATGGTTACTATTAGGTACAAACTCGTGTAGTTGGCATCAAGCCAAACTTTAAAGTATAAATTTCTAAGTTATGCTATAGTGTAAGCTACTTATATCCAAATAAGTAGTATATAAACTATATTGAGAAATAGGATATATTTCAATAGAAGATCGAGAAGGAAAGAACGGAAACGGAAGGTAATTAGTATGACAATCCAGGAACAATGAAATTTGAGATGATGGACTGATATCTGCAAAAGGCACAGTCAAGTTCGTAACAATGGTTTGATTTTTTGCAAACCAAGTATTTACTGTATTTAATCTATGATGGATAGTGGCTAACAATGGAATCCAGTTTGACGAGCGTTTCGTCCTATTTGGGACTCGTCAGCTGGATGTGCCTGCATCTCAGAGTTGATGTTCACTCCGTGACTCGAACCTAGTACCATTCGCTTCAAACGCCATCGCGTTATCCTTTTAGCTACTGAGTTCTGATAGCCACTTGCTTGTGAAATGGGGTGAATTTAAATTCACTTGGTGTTGTTTGACTTGTATCTACAATATGCACATATGCCGATAACAGACTGATAAATTACAGTCTTAAACCTCAATAGCAAGATACAAGCCAAACAATACCAAGTGTATTTACTGTATGGTTCTCAGATTTTAGTGAGATATTCTGTAATTTTTTGTTCAAACACGTACGATCACCTCCACTTATGTTCTTGCTCTCTACAATACTAATAGATCAGTGATTTAGTTGGTTAAGCGCCTGGCACAAGACTGATAGGTCGTGGGTTCGAACCTCGCGGGGTGCGGGATCGTGGATGCACGCTGCTGAGGAGTCTTGCACTATGACCAAACAACCGTCCAGTGCTTCCAGGTTTTCCATGGTTGTCTAGCTTCAGTTGACTCTTGATTTCAATCCGTGAAATTTCTAAAATCTCCACAAACCTCTTCTGAGTAATCAAATCCTTTAAAGTTTGAGATACATCATCATGTTAAGTAACAGTAAAGTTGATTGACATGAATGATTTTAATAAATAATATACTCAAGGGAAGAGGGGGGCAAATATACAATTAAAGACTAAATATCGGTAATCTTTGATATCAACCTATGGGAAACAAAAACCCTTGAAAAATATTATACTCATATAATTGAACGCTAGATTCAGTTGCTATGATCCTCTATTAATCCTTCAAACTAAATCTACATAGTGACTTGAATATGAGAGAAAATGCGCGAAATATGAAAGGAAATTGTTCTACTCCAAAGATCCTGTTTATGTACAGAAAATCTAGGGTTTTCTGTCGTATTTAACATGACCTTAGGTTTCCTTGAAAATTCTAGCAGTATGGATAATAATTTAATCCGAAATGTGACATGTGACTTTCATTTTCTAGAAGTTTCTGGTAAAATTTCTAGTGAACATTGATTGCATATTTATTTGTTTAATTTAACACATAGATATTGGTACAAGAAGGCACCAAATACATATGCACCACACAAATCTCATTTGATATGTGTGAAGGTTGTGATACTGCCCATGTGCCCAGACCAAAGCAAGTGGTTTTCTTGGAAGGTCACACTCGGAGCCTTCGACTTGAAGGTCTAATCCACAAGGCAGTTGAGCGTCGTAAGGAGATGAAGTCTCACGATAGCCGGTGACGAACAATTGATTCATACACGATTTGTTCCTTTAGGATACTGGTGGCCATGTGCACCATTGATTTGGAATAAGGGTTTTCCAACTTCCCTAGGTGGAGTCTCCATGTCCACTAACCCGGTCAAAGCTCCGAACATCTGGTTTTCGTCCTCTGAATTTCATAAACAACAATAATGGCACGAGAAGGCAGTGAGTAGAACTTCACTGGCAGAGGCTATATACGTGTGGCTATGTGAGAGCATTTGGAGAGGGAGAGCAGACTCTCCCCACTCTCGGCCTAACCAGGGCATTTAGAGGCGTTGATTGGATAAGATGTTTCCCAGCATGTTCAGAGCCATATTTTTTTGTCTTTTTTCAAAGAATTCTCTGTATTGTCTCAACAGTTCTGTAAACGATTTATTCATTTAATATTGATATTGATAGACAATGAACTTTATCGTTATTATGTTAATTAGATGTATGTTAAACACAATGATACACAATTTAAATCATTCCATTAAACTTCACTCAGTATTCATTACATATCAACCAATTTGATGTAGAGAGAAGGACTCAATTATTAATAACACCGTTGGATGCCGACTTAGTGGTCTAGAGATTAAGTGTTTGCGTACGAGACTGAAGGTCCTGGATTCGAATCCTGTGAGTGGAATCGTGAATACTCACTTGTGAGGAGTCCCACAATAAGACGAAATGGCTGTCAAGTGCTTTTTTTAGGTTTTCAATGGTTAGTTGACAACTAATTCTATGCTGTAATTTATTCAGTTGTAGTTTGTTCAAATTGTACTCTAAATATGTGTTAACATGAAGTTAGTTTTACATAATGGATTAGTTTCAATTAGATAATTATTGAAGACTAAGGGATATTAATTAATTATTTATTCTTGATATAAAACTCCGGAATATGCACTTATTACATCATCAGTGATTGAATATAGAACATAGAAATCTTACAATGATCTCAAGTTTACAGCGAGACTATAATTTATGGACGAAGCAATCAGATTTAAGATAACAAGTAGTGGATTCATTCACTCATTTGGACAAATAACGTTTTGGCATTTAAGTTGATGTTACTTCATGATGAAAATCCTAATCCGAATTCCTAACATTAACCATCAATTGTAAATCAGAATCCTATTCTTCAAACTGACTTATAACCTTCATTTAGCCTTGGTAATTAGATAAACACTCTCAAGGTTACTTTGGCATTACTCAAAGATCGTCCGAAAATTAGGCTCATCAAATTCTATCATTGTCAACATAGCTGACAGTGACATGAATTCCAGCTCGGTGGTCTAATGGTTAAGCGCTCGCGCGAGAGATTGATATATCCTGGGTTCGAATCTCGCAGGAGGGGCGGCAGGATTGTGGATGCTCACTGCTGATGAGCCTCACAATAGGACGAAAGGTTGTTCATAATATACTGACTTAAAAATAAGTTGGTTTATTCTATCGTTGAATGATCAATTTTCATTCTTAATTTTAAGAATGTTGACAATGTTCTGCATAATACATTTGCAGTGGTAAATAAATCCTCAAAATCAATAGCTCTGTGAGTCTTCGACATTTGATACTAACCATATTAGTTTCAATAGACTCCTCTAACTGAAGGCGCTCGGTTATACGTCACGAGTGAGTACGCTGTGCTCAACTTCTCCTACAACAAATAGCCAGTTTACATTAGTCACTTCTCGATATATTGATAGCCTATCACATATAACTTCAAACCTCTTCGCTTTTGACTTCTGATTACACTGGATGGGCATGTTTCGATTATAGAAAGTGTTACTAGATAAGGTGTTGTCAAACTTCAAATACTTTTGGCATCTTTACATTTCTCCAACTTTGTTCTTATTCTGTACCCATAGATCAAATCAAAACATTCATACAGTAGACAATATATCTACAAACATTCGTTTCTATAATTATCAGTGATATCTACAGTGTAGAAATAAAAAAAGATCAGTTTTTAAGAGCATATACCTTCTTAGTCGATTCTCATTCCATTGTAAACCACGTGCAGTTGGTGAACCAGGTCTTTGTCCGTATAATGGACCAAATCTTGCTTTGGATTGACACATATAAACCGCTAAATATGTTGCTAATAAACATTTTGGTCCAGTACAATGAAGAACAGCTACACGATTATTTATAGTATTGATTTCTTTAGATTTTTTGATATCGTTTGTTGATGGAATATCATGATTATGAAGCCAAAAATCTAATTGATCAATAGCTGTCACTAATTGTTCTAAAGCGGGAGCAAGTTTTCCTGCCCAGAACAAATCAATGACAGGAGTCTAAAATGATAAAAAAATCACATAAAATTTAAGTTATATACTTGAAGTTTCATATCAGCTGACAATCCTCAAAAAGGTGTGCCTACAAACATGATTCCCCATACAGGACTTAGATCACTATCAGCCAGCTTCAAAGTTAATGACATCATCATTCATCGATCTCGGATCACTATATCTCAGTGGTATTATTCAAAGAGTCTATATTAACAGACAGTGACAAATAATTTTTCTCCTAGAAATCAATAAGATATAAACTACTAACTTATGCATTTCAGTAGTATATTATAGACAGTTAATAAATTTTATAATGCATCAGTATGTTTTGATATATTTACACTTAAACATAATATCAAGCTATTATGTAGGTTGATATAGGCTTCCAGTTAGACGATACATATTAATAAGATGTAATTGTAACGGTGAATGGACTTATCTGTATGAAACTTGTATCAATAGATGTCACAGATATGAATATAACAGCTAAGCTATAGAAACTGTGAGTGATCTTGTATAGGAAGGGATATTAGTCAAAAATTTCAGACCTAAAAAAGTTAGTTAATAACTGTCCAGTTCACATTTGTACCCTTCTAACAATTACTGAATAACTGAAAAACTTCAATTCATGAATTCAACAATATTAATTATCATACATTAGATTAGCAATCTATTCAGTCTAGTTAAGATTTATGCATTATCATTCACTAAATTAATTTAACAATATAGGTTATTATAAAGTTATCAGTTGTTTGAAATTGAAATTTTGAAAAAAAGACTTCTACATGACGTTTGTGCTGATGATGTCGTTTGGAAGAACGATGAAACCCCCCATCACTGAACCATAAAGCTCAGAGAACAAAACTACACCAGAGTCATTTACCTGAGCTACATATCTTTTCAACTATCTCAAACAGTAATCTGCTGGATCACCATGGAAAACCTGGAAGCAATGAATAGTAGTTTCGTCCTAGTATGGGACTCCTCAGCAGTACCCATCCACGATCATGGACGCAAGGGACTCGAGCCCAGGAACTTCGGTCTCACGTGTGAACACTTAACTTTTATGCCAGTCTTTCATGGATTGATGGAAGTTAGACATTAATACTGTTGAATACTGACTCAGTTGTCTAGAGGTTAAGCGTTCGCGCGCGAGACCGTAGGTTTTGGGTGCAGGTTAGTGGATGCACACTGCTGAGGAGTCCCATACTAGGATGAAACAGTCGTTCAGTGCTTCGAGGTTTTCCATGATGGTCTAGCTTACAACGACCCATGAATTAAACTATTAAATATGTTTAAAAATTTTAATCTTACTCGACTTGAAAAGTGTAATTCTTTGGTGAAACCGGACAGATTAAATATCTGTAAATAAATTGAAAAGAGAATGTTAATAAATTGAACAATTCAGTTGAAATGATTACATTATTTTACAAAAAACGGATCAATCAAAATCATTGCTATCATTAACGTCAGTATGAATTGAGGGATTGTTGAGATCGTTGTTAGTTAGTTAAACACATAAATATTGGTACAAGAAGGCACCAAATATAAATGCGTCACATAAATCATTCGATTTGTGTGAGTGCTGTGATACTGATCGGGTGTCCAGACCGAAGCAGTTGGTTTGCCTAGGGGGCCACACCCCGAGCCTTGGACTTAAAGGCCTGACCCACAAGGCAGCGGATCATCGTGAGGAAATTTGGTCCCATGGTAGCCGGTGACCAACGATTGGTTCAAACGTCATTTGTTCCCGCAGGGTACTGGAGCCCATATGCACCATTGGTAGTAGTAGTAGTAGTAGTAGTAGTAGTAGTAGTAGTAGTAGTAGTAGTAGTAGTAGTAGTAGTAGTAGTAGTAGTAGTAGTAGTAGTAGTAGTAGTAGTAGTAGTAGTAGTAGTAGTAGTAGTAGTAGTAGTAGTAGTAGTAGTAGTAGTAGTAGTAGTAGTAGTAGTAGTAGTAGTAGTAGTAGTAGTAGTAGTAGTAGTAGTAGTAGTAGTAGTAGTAGTAGTAGTAGTAGTAGTAGTAGTAGTAGTAGTAGTAGTAGTAGTAGTAGTAGTAGTAGTAGTAGTAGTAGTAGTAGTAGTAGTAGTAGTAGTAGTAGTAGTAGTAGTAGTAGTAGTAGTAGTAGTAGTAGTAGTAGTAGTAGTAGTAGTAGTAGTAGTAGTAGTAGTAGTAGTAGTAGTAGTAGTAGTAGTAGTAGTAGTAGTAGTAGTAGTAGTAGTAGTAGTAGTAGTAGTAGTAGTAGTAGTAGTAGTAGTAGTAGTAGTAGTAGTAGTAGTAGTAGTAGTAGTAGTAGTAGTAGTAGTAGTAGTAGTAGTAGTAGTAGTAGTAGTAGTAGTAGTAGTAGTAGTAGTAGTAGTAGTAGTAGTAGTAGTAGTAGTAGTAGTAGTAGTAGTAGTAGTAGTAGTAGTAGTAGTAGTAGTAGTAGTAGTAGTAGTAGTAGTAGTAGTAGTAGTAGTAGTAGTAGTAGTAGTAGTAGTAGTAGTAGTAGTAGTAGTAGTAGTAGTAGTAGTAGTAGTAGTAGTAGTAGTAGTAGTAGTAGTAGTAGTAGTAGTAGTAGTAGTAGTAGTAGTAGTAGTAGTAGTAGTAGTAGTAGTAGTAGTAGTAGTAGTAGTAGTAGTAGTAGTAGTAGTAGTAGTAGTAGTAGTAGTAGTAGTAGTAGTAGTAGTAGTAGTAGTAGTAGTAGTAGTAGTAGTAGTAGTAGTAGTAGTAGTAGTAGTAGTAGTAGTAGTAGTAGTAGTAGTAGTAGTAGTAGTAGTAGTAGTAGTAGTAGTAGTAGTAGTAGTAGTAGTAGTAATAGTAGTAGTAGTAGTAATGATGATTGTAGTGGTATTTTAAGTGGCATTATTAGTAGTACTGATAATAGTGTGTGTAGTAACTATAATAATGTGAGTAGTAATAATATTAATAATAATATCATATCACATACCCTATAGTTTTCACCATAACGTTTTTCAAATGCTTTACATAACCATCGAGCACCTTCATTATGATCAGTTTTGGTTGCTTCTGGTGGATAGCTTACGACTAAAAGAAAGGACATAAGAGGGGTATAAAAACAATAAAAGAGCAGATTATACCATAAAAAAGACTCCATGAAAGTGACTTAAAGTAAAAAGTTAGTGATTAATGGATATGGCGGATTGCTCATTATTTTTGACTCAGTATTTTACCGTTCTTGAATTTATTTTAATAGTTGAAATCATTGGTTAAATGAAGCTAGACCATCATGGGAAACCTGGAATCATAGGACAACCATTTTGTCCTATTATGGGATTCATCAGCAGTATGCATCCACAACCCCACATGCGGGATACGAATTTAGGATCTTTAGTCTCGTGAGCAATCGCTTAATCCCAAGATCATTGAGCTGGCCGTCATAAAACGGTGTTAATGTCTTATTTCTATCAATCCATGGAATTGAACCACCGTCCACTATTGTCTTCAGTGAGTTACTATCTCACAACAGACCTGGTTGAACTCCACTGGTCACTGCTTCTCACTAAAACTCCAGGAAATACCTCTTGAAGCCAGTCACTAGTCAGTGAATGTTGATTATAATCAGAGAGAAATGTTGTCGATATTATAGTACTTTATTCATTGAATTTATTAGAAGTTCAATACTAGGACAAAACTGCCGTCAAGTGCTTCCAAGTTTTGCACGGTGGTCTATCTTCAAACCAACTTCCGGTTGAAGTGGAAATTAGGAAAGGTCGTTGGAGTTGGATAGAACACACACTACAGAGATCATCAAACTTGATCACGAGACAAGCGCCAACTTGGAATCCCGAGTGTAAACGAAAAAGAGGAAGGTCGAAGAACACACTGCATAGAGAATTGGAAGTGGACATGAAAAGAATGAATAGCAACTGAAAAGAATTGGTGATGTGGGTGGCTTATGCTCCTCCAAGATGGCTAACAAACGTTAGTGGTAGTGTGTAAGTATATCATCACGAACAAGATTCAGGTTAGAGCACCATTGAAGACCTGAAAGCATTGGACGACTGTTTCGTCAAAGTATGGAACTCCTCAGTTCCACATGTTGGAATCGAACCCGTGACTTTTGGCCTTTCGCGCAAACTCTTAACCTGTAGATCATTAAACCGACACCCAATATTGTTATTATCTAGCTTCAATTGATCCATGATCTTGTTTAAGATAGATACCTGTTTTTACTCCACATAAATTGAACTCTACTAGTCATGGCTTCAAACTAGAACTTCAAGAATATCTATTTTGAATTCAGTCACTAGTAAGTAAATGACTTGAATGCAGATAGGGGGTTTGTTTTGTGAAGACTGTATTCATTGTAATAATTAATCTACATATGTTTGTTTTTTATTATATCCCTTTTATGTTATCCAAAAACAAAACAAAACACAATGACCAGATGTTGTATCATTTGACTACCGAATAAAAGAAACAACAACATACACATCAAATAGAATTGCAACCATAATTACATAAAAATAATATGAATACATTCACTATAACTGTTTATAATCTTAAAGATAATAGGAAGAATTGGTTATATATTAGTTGTCAGGAGGGGTTTTGTAGAGATTTTAGTAATTTCAATAGTTGAAATCATGAGTCAATTGAAGCTAGACTGATAGATCCTGGGTTCGAATCTTACGGGGAGGTGGGATCGTAGATGCGCATTGTTGAGGAGTACCATACTAGGATAAAATGGCTTTCCAGTGCTTTAAGGTTTTCCATGGTGGTCTAACTTCAATTCACTCATGATTTCAACTATTGATATATATTAGCTGACGTATATAATTTTATATCAATATTCCTAGTAAAGTTTAAACACCATGGAGATTTAGTAAAAATAGAACTAATTCATAAGGATAAAAACGATTAGAAATATTTCTACAATACATCAATTAAAGAGGGGGGGTTGTGGAGATTGAGTTCGAATCCCATGAGTGAGATCATGGATCATGAACGTGATGAAAACACTATGTTAGTACGAGATCCTTTTTTATATAGTTATATCAAAAAAGTTCATTTATTGTTTTTTCTTTCACGATTTACAAAAAAACACCAGAATACATAACTACAATACGTTCATTAGACATGTAAAACATTAACATATTGGATACTGGCTCACTGACGTACAGGTTAAGAGTATGAGGGCCAGACAGAAGGTCCTGCGTTCGAGTCCCATATATTGGATTGTGGAAGTGTATTGATAAGGAGTCCCATACTATGACGAAATGGCTATTTAGCGCTTCCAAGTTTTCAGTAGCTTACATCAACTCATGAACTCAACTATTAAAACCTTTGTGGATTCTTTATATTATCATTACTTACTTACTCCTGTTACTACTAATAGAGCATAGGCCGTCGACCAACATTCTCCAACTCATTATCTACTGGGCTTTCGTTTTCGGTTCTATCCATTTGTTGTTCATTCTTCTCATGTCTGTCTCCATCTCTTGGTGTAATGTGTTCTTTCGTCTTCCTCTCCTTCCTTGACCTTGAGGATTCCATGTGAGGACTTGTCTTGTGACGCAGTCGTGTGCTTTCTTCAATGTGTGTCCTATCCACTTCCAACATTCTTTCCTGATTTCTTCCACTGCTAAAATTTGGTTTGTTCTCTCACATAGTAGGTTGCTGTTGATAGTGTCTGGTCAACGGATTTTTGCGTAAACAGCTGTTAATAAACACTTGTATCTTCTCGATACTTGCTTTCGTAGTTCTCCAAGTTTCCACCCCATACAATATTACTGGGTTGATATTAGTATTGAAAATTATGACTTTAGTGTTGGTTGACAATTGCTCAGAATTCCAGTTAGACTTATTAATCTTTCTAAATAAAACTGTTCATTTACAAATCTAGATTCTGTTTGCCTGACAACAAATAATCGGTTATTTTCGTCCCTGATTTTATCATATATCACGAAGAATTAATGTCAAAAATACATAATATTCACAATATCTAGGTAGAGATGTTTTCATGTTTAAAGAGTACAATAGATAGGATGAAACGGTCGTCCAATGCTTCCACATTTTCCATGGTGGTCTAGCTTTAATTAACTTATAAACTCAATAACAAGTAGTTTTAAAAATATTAACTCTCTAACTCATTCCATGTAGATCAAGTACAATTCTTGAAGAAACCTTGCACCTAAAATCTTATTACAAACCCTAATCTCACCCTTACTCTTAACTAACTTACTTACGTCTGTTACTCCTTGTGGAGGAGCACAGGCCGCCCACAAGCATTGTCTGTATACAAACTGAATGTATTCGACAGAAGAAGTCACTGAATAATCTCAGTTATCTAGTTGTGTATATTATTGAAATTAAAAGCTATTTACTCAGTTCACATCATATTCAACAATTAATTACTTACTTACGCCTGTTAACCCTCGTGAAGCAACATAGGCAATCTACAACTGTATCCATCAAACCCTGTCCTCAACAGTGATTTTCAATTGTTTCCAATTGCTATTCATCATTTTCATATCTGCTTCCCATTCTCAACGCAGTGTATAATTCGGCCTTCCTCTTTCTAGTTTCCCATAAGTATTCCAAAATAGAGCATACCTCATGATGCCGTTGGTTGATTTCCGTAATGTATTTCCTACCCTCTTCAAGAATATTTTGCTAATTTCCTCTTCAACTGGGAGCTGATTTGTTCTCTCCCACAGTAGGCTGTTGCTTATTGTATTCGGTCAATGGACATTGAGCATCTTGTGTACACAATTGTTTATAAATCTTTGTACACTTTTGATTATGGTTGTGGTAGTTCTCCAGGTTTCAGCTCCATACAGTAGAAGTGTCTTGACGTTCGTATTGAAGATTTTGACTTTGATATTGTTTGAAAGTTGTTTTGATTTCTATATGTTCTTCAATTGTAGGAATGTGGCCGTTGCTTTACCAATCCTCGCCTCTGCGTCTGCATCTGATCCTCCTTGTTGATCAATGGTGCTTCCCATGTATGTGAAAGATTCCACATCTTCCAGAGTTTCTCCATCAAGTGTGATTGGTTTAGTGTTTTCCAAGTTGTATTTGAGAATCTTGCCTTTACCTTTGTGTATGTTGAAGCCTACTGATATAGAGGTTGTTGCTACACCAGTTTTCTTCATCTACACTTTCACTATCCTATACATTTCTATTTACTATGTAATTACACTTTGTGGATTGGTCCAGAGGTTAAGCATTCGCAAGCGAGATCGAAGATCCTAGGTTCCAACCCAACGGGTGGGATCTTGAATGTTCACTGTTGATGAGTCCCATACTAGGTCGAGACGGTTATTGTTCTTCCAGAGTTTCCGATGATGGTCTAACTTTAATCGACTAATAAATTCAATTGTGAAATTACTTTACACATCATTAACATAATAATGAGGATAAGAATACTTTGTTTATTATCTCTTCTTAATGTTTATTCTCAGTCTTAGATTATTTCATTAAAATTAATAATCATAAATAATGTCTGATATTATGTTATACACTTGTTTATTTATTTATTTATTTTAAGACATAGATATTGGTACGAGAAGGCACCAAATACATATGCGCCACACAGATCTCATTTGATATGTGTATGTATATGTATATGTAACTCCGCCTGGAGTCCCTCCGAGGGCTAATGCCGGTGCCAAGCCGGGATGAAGGGGGAGGGTTGGGCATGGAGCTAACGTCACCATCCCGTAGAAAACTAACTCGCTAAAAAAACGCTAACCAGAAAATTATGTGTGAGGGCAGTGATAGTGCCCGGGTGCCCAAACAGAAGCTGGTGGTTTCCTTAGGCGACCACACCAAGAACCTTTGACCTGAAGGTCTAATCCACAAGGCAGTGGAGCGTCGTAAGGAGATGTAGTCCCACGGTAGCCGGTGACTAACAATTGGTTCATATGCCATTTGTTGCCTTAGGACTCTGGAGGCTATGTGCACCATTGGTTTGGAATGAGGGTTTTCGAACTCCCCTAGGTGGACTCTCCATGTCCACCAACCCGGGCGAAGCGCCGGACATTCGCTTTTCGTCCTCTTAATGTCGTAAACAACACCCGTGGTTTGAGAATGCAGTTATTAGAACTTTCCTGGCAGAGGCTATATACGCGTAGTCATATGAGAGCATTTGGAGAGGGAGAGTGGACTCTCCCCACTGTTGGTTGTACCAGGGCATTTAAGGGCATAACACAGTTGATTTAAATAAAATTAATTGAACAATGAACATTATTCATTCGATAAAAAATGGTGGGTGAGACAACAATTTATGGATAACCTTTAAGCGACGCCAGACTGACCTTAAGATTGTCCACCTAATAACTAGGACCAAATGAGAGTTATAAACCAGTGTGTGAGGAATTAGAATTACGATATACAGTTGATGGTTAAGGTTAGAATTTTACCATGAACCGACATCAGCTATAATGCTAAAACTCTATTTATCCAAATGGACGAATGAATTTAGCGCCAAAATCCGAGACCTGTGATTGGTTAATTCAGAAATTCTAGTCTGGCCAAAAGTTGTTTTTGTTTTAGAACTATGTAATATGATACTTGAATCAAACAATAATGTTTCAATTACATAAATGTTTGTTTCTTATGGAAACTATTGAAATGCCTTACATTACGCAATTAGAAATCAAGAATCAATGGTAAACTATTTTATGATTTAAATATAAGACTTCACCATAGTGAACATCTATGATCCTATCTGGGTCACATATAAAAACTGATCATGCTTTTGTTGGCATATGAAATTTTTCATATGAGTCGATGTAATCTAGACCATCCGGGAAAACCTAGAAGCATTGGATGATCATCTCGTTCTAGTATGGAACTTCTCAGCAGTGTCTTCACGATCCTACATGCGGGACTCGAACCCAGGACGTTTGACTCAATTTCCACGAAATTCCATTCTGATAAGCTTTTTTCATATGAGTTGTATTAGATTTAAAAGTCAGGATGTATATAAACAGGGTAATACTGGTAAATTATATTGATCAGATCAGTTAATTGTATTATTTTCTGTTTAGCTGATTTCCTGATGAACTTTCATTCTGTAAACCGGATGATTTATTCGTAATTTATTGTTCTGTGTACTTTATCATAAAAAAATGGTGGAAATGAAAATCGTATTGAACGAAAACACAAGTGGGACCAATCGAATGTAGTAGAACACAATATTACGGAATATCATAATGCAAGCTGTGAACCATACAGTAAATACTTCACTTGAAGAATGTCAATCAATTGTCTCAGACTTCATTGTTCCTGTATTTCCAAATTAATTACTTTCTGTTCCCGTTCTTTCCTCCACGATCTTCTGGATCTTCTGCTGCCAGGCATTCTATTTCTGACTGGGGTAATATACTACTTATGTCGATATACATCGAACGCACACCACACTTGTCCCTCCTTTAAAGCAGTCATTCTTGCAGTGGTTCTGACCGCCGTGCCACTTTTTTGCAACCTGTACTATGCTCTCTGTCAAAATATCGAATCTTTGGCACGCTGTCCTTTATAACTCCGTCGACCCGCCGAGACGTTTAACACCTGCGCTCCAACAACGCCAACCCACCAGAACACTTCACTCGGCGTCACCTTCCCTCACCGGACCTCTGAAACTAGCATCTCATCTCTTATTTCTCAACGGCGTCCACATATCGGCATCCTTCCCTTCCTGGTTGGCAGCGAAACCAAATGTAGTAAACGAGAATACCAAAATGTGGACAATCGGATGCACTTGAATACAACAATAACAAGAAATTATTTCTGATCAAATTTATTGATAAAATAATTTAACATATTATATCATTCAATAACTTACCTAATAAGCGATCTGTAATGTAGGTTAAACGAAATCTTTGTCTACCAACACTAGCTAATTCAGCTGATAAACTACATACTAATGATGTACCATATGGATCTTCAGTAGTTTTTGACCATGATTGATTTGATTTAATCTTTTGTTGATTATCTAATTGTGAAGTTGTTACATTTGGATGAATATTCAATGGAGTTGTTTGTATAAGACTAGGACTTATACGTTGATGTAACTGATCAATTTGATTATTATCTGATTTGAATGATGTAGGTGTAAATTTTCCAGTGACACATTTGGATGGAAATGGTGCAATCCATGCAGATGGCATAGAAATTTCATCGAATGTTTTATTACGACTAAGCTATTATTGAATAAAAAGAAGAAAGAATAAATATACATTTAGTGTATTAAAAATATAGGGTGATACTGTAGTATATGCAAAACCTGGAAGGACTGGTTAAGTGTTTCGTCCTAGGATGAGACTTCTCAGCACTGTACATCCGAGATCCCGCCCTATGGGGTTCCAACACAAAACATATCAGTCTCGCCTGAGATCGCCTAACCTCTAGACCACGGAGCTGGTCAGTATACAATGGTGTTAATGTCTAACTTTAATCAACCCAAGAAATTATACCACCAATCACTATTGTCTTCAGTGAGTTACTGCCTCACAAAAGACACCGTTGAAGTCCATTGGTCACGGCTTCTCACTAGAACTCCAAGGAATACCTCTTGAAGCCAGTCACTAGTGGGCATATGATGATTATTATCAAAAAAGATTTTGTGGAGATTTTAGTAGTTTTATAATTGAGATCATGAGTCAATTGAACCTAGACCATCATGGAAAGCCTGAAAGTACTGGACGGCCGTTTCGTCCTAGTAAGGGACTTGTCAGCAGTGTGCATCCACGGTCCCGCCTTGCGAGATTCGAACCCAGGAAGTATCGGTCTCGCGCGCGAGCGTTCAACTATTAGAACACTGGGCCGGCCGATAATCAACGGTGTTAATGTCTAATTTTTACAAATCCACGAAATTGAACCATCATGCACCATTGTCTTCACTGAGTTACTATCTCGCAACAGACCTGGTTGAACTCCGCTGGTCACTGCCTAATATTATTCTATCTCTATATGTTTACTGAATCTATTCAATATGTTTCAAATATAAAGTATATATACGTGTTTTGTTTTCATGGTCAAAAGTACTGTTTAAGGTTGCAGATAGCTGCGAAAAATCCACAAAATAAATGTATTTATGTTATTAGAACTTATAAATCAACTCCTCTTGTAGCTGGTTTCAAGATCGGATAAGAAAGGAGAGTTGAGCATTGGTTCAGCAACCTCATTCTCTATCTCTTCTAGGGTTACTGCTGGTCCCAAGACCGGGTAAAATAGGAAAGTTGGGTACGGAGTCCGTAACGTTATCCTTTAAAAAACCAACCTTGTTAAAAAAAACGCTACATTTCTTGGAGGTGCTTTCAGAAAATATTAGATTGATGTTTTATAAAGTGACAACTTCTGATCACACCGTAATCAGTGATACCTAAATTTTACCGTAACAGTCAAAATATGATTTTGGTGTCATGAGTAGAATATGATTTCCAGGTAATAGAAAGATTAGTCCAAACATCTCGGTTATATATAATAGGTCACTTACTAACCCGTTAGCTCAGTGGTAATGTCGTAGACTATGAATCTGAATGATACAGTCTCAAGCCCCAGCGGAAGTATCAGTTTTCATAAGATTGCATATAGATCACACTAACTAATCTTATGCAGTGCGATACTTAGATACCATATTTCCTACCGACTGTCTTCAATTGTTCAATATCAATATACTTAGTACCTCGAAAGTAAAATACATCATTTACTGAGGCATTATGTTAGCAAATGGATTGTAGACGTAGTCATCTTGCTCTTCTGTTTGATGTTCGTCAACTAAAATGATTATTGTAGAAGACATCTATACTACTAATATTGTAAATAGTTTACAATATATATGTATATTCATAAGCAGATTATATCATTTTAATAGTTAAGATCATGAGTCAATTGTAGCTCGACCACTATGGGAAACATTGGAAGAACTGGACGGCTGTTTCGTTCTAACGTGGTACTCCTCAGCAGTGTGCATCCACGATTCCTCCTTGCAAAATTCGAACCCCGAACTTATCAGTCTTAACTACTAAAATAACTATAATATCCCCAAAAACCGCTTCTAAGATTGTCATATTAAGTACTTAATGTACTACTTACGATATATGAAATCTGTTCCGGACGTAGAGGTGAAGAAATCTGAAAAGAAATAAAAATAAAACACAATTTCATTATAGTCATATTGGATACAGTATTTCGTGTTTGTTTATAAACAATCAAAAAGCCCTAGATAGTTGTTTCAATCAAAGTAGTGAGTACCCACGACCTCACCATAAGGAATCAAACATAAGATCTTTGATCTTATATATGATTCCTAACCTCTAGGCTTCTGAGCTTGCATCTAAAGATGTACATGTTTAACTTCATTCAATTTAAGATATTGCTCTATCAACTTACATTGTCTATAGCATAGAAATGTTTCACAAATGGCATGGTTGAACTAAACCGTCCATAGTTTTTACAATATGAACTCCGAGAATTGAATCTTATAACTATTCACTCGTAAGCAAATGACAATGATCGGTATCGTGAGGCTTTTGAAAATCGTCGAAAGTTATTGGGTTTGCGTGCTAACCTATGTTAGCCAAAATAAAGTGATCATACAATATCACAAATACATTAAAGTGATACATATACACTACAGGATGATGATTTAGTGCTGTCAACATCAAACACTCGCCAATAGGCATAAAATCGCTGTGTTAGATCCTTTATGGGATCATGAATGAACACTGTTGAACAGCTTCATACTACAAAGAAATAGATTCACGTGGTATTGTTTGGCTTGTATCTTCCCATTGAGGTTTAAAACTGCAATTGATCAGTCTGTTATTGGCATATGTGCATACTGTGTGTATGCCTCGATATTGCCTTAATTCAAAAGCTTTTTGTAAGCAATGATGGATAGTGGCTTTCAGTGGAATCCAGTTTGACGCACGTTTCGTCCTATTTGAGACTCGTCAGCTGGATGTACCTGTATCTAAGAGTTGATGTTCACTCTGGGACTTAAACCCAAATGCCATCGCGTTGTCCACTCAGCTACTGAGTCCTGATAATTGCAGCCTTAAACCTAAATTGGAAGATACAAGCCATGCAATACCAAGCGAATTTAAACCTACCCCAAGTGGCTATTAGGACTCAGTAACTATGTGGATAACGCAATAGTGTTTGAATGAACATGTTAAACTTTTCTGAAGAGTCCTACAATAGGACAAAACCATTGTCTAGTTCTTCCAGGTTTTCCAATAGTAGTCTAACTTCAATTAACTCATGCATTCAACAATTGAAATTACTATAATATCCATAACCCGTCCCCTTTGATGATAGTTATTTTTATGATTTTTATTTTATTAATTACATTTGATCGATTTAATGATCATTATCAATGATCGATAAAATTTAATTGGGATAAAAGAATAGAATAAAATGACATTGGTCATTTGTTTAATGGATCAATCCGTAGAAATAGGAAGTCAATAGTGATCATTTAAACTGTGAAACTGAGTGATACATAGACAGCAACAGTTACTTCAGTAGAGTAAGTGTTTAAAACTTTACATAAACTAGGCAATTACAGGAAAACATAACAAAGTATTGATTAATTATTTCGTCCTATTATACCTATACAAGGATTGAAACCATATTTATTAAATCAGTTGATCATTGTTTATTGCCTTTAGATCACTAATTTGAAGTCAAATAGTTCAATCATAAAAACTTAAGTTTGGTATGATGAAAGAATCAATATTGGACTATCATTGAAAATCTGGAAACACTGGATGGCCGTTTCGTCATAGTATGGGACTCTTCAATAATGCACATGCACAATCTCACATATAAGATTCGAAAACAGGACATTCTGTCTCATCTGCGAAAACAATCTGTAGACCACTGAGATAACATCCAGCGGTGTTAATGTCTAACTTCAATCGATCTATGATGTTGCTCAACCCTTCATCCATTGTCAGTGATGGATGACTGTATCTATTTAACACAGATTGAACTCCACTGATCATAGTTAGTCACATATAAGCACATGATTATTGCCAGAATGGTGGTATGTGGATTCTCTGGAGTTCTAGTGAGAGGCCGTGGAGAAAGTTATCCACTTCAAACAATTGAATTTCGACGTTAACACCTTTAGATGAAGTCTAACTAGTCTACAGATTAGACGTTAGTGGGTGAGGTCAAAAGTCTTGGTTTCCGATCCGGTATGTGGGACCACGGATATGCACTTCTGTGGAGTTCCTTACTAAGACGAAACGGTCATCCAATGCTTTCAAATTTTTGATGATGTTTCTAGCATAAATCGACTCATAAATTCAACCATTAAAATTAATACAATCTCTACAAACCCCTCCCTTTATTCTGGGAATGATAATTGTTTAGAATGAATCATATAAATATTAATATATTTCATAACAATCTATATGATTACCGAAGTTACCAAATGTACCTATTACATCATTAAAACCAAAGAAACACATAAACATAAGTGTTATTTAATTCTATTAGGTTAGAAACACCCATGGTACTTTCAGTTAAGAAATATACATTAACACATTTATTTATGATGGTCTCGTTTCTATTTGACCTTATGAGATTTGAACTATGACTGTACAACAATTACTAAGCAGATGTTGATTGGTAAAGTAGTTTGTAAAGTGTTTTCTACTAAAGACAGTTTAAATAATTCAGTTTTTTTCCACTTAGAAACTAAAGGTATTAGTTTAGTGAATGAGAATACTAAGTGGGAACAATCGAATGTATTGGCACATGAAATTATAAAATCTCATAGTGATTTCTGAGATTCAGTTACCACGTGGATAACGCGATGGTGTTTGTTGAAATGAACCGCACTGGGTTCGAGTTCAGAAGTGAACATCAACTCTGGGATATAGGCTCATCCAACTAACGAGTCTCAAATAGGACAAAGTAACTCTTGTCCTTTACATTGTTTTCTATTCCAAAAATGCATCTTATATTACCTAATCACTTGTGTCAAACGTATTCGCCATCAAACGTCAACTGAACATTTGCACTTACTTACTTACTTACTTACTTACTTACTTACTTACTTACTTACTTACTTACTTACTTACTTACTTACTTACTTACTTACTTACTTACTTACTTACTTACTTACTTACTTACTTACTTACTTACTTACTTACTTACTTACTTACTATTGAGTCTTGATAAGCACTTGTTTGTGAAGTTTAAATTCACTTCGTATTGGTTACTTGAATCTTCCCATTGATATTGTCTTAGAATTCCTAGAATGCTCGTGAATTAATACAATATCGATGCAATACGCACTGGATGTACATATGCCAATAAGAATTAGATCAATTGCAGTCCTTAACATAGATAGGAAGATTCAAGTAGACAATACCAAGTGAATTTAAACTTTACTCCATTGCAAAATCAAGTAGCTACCAGGACACAGTTATTTAATTGATAACGCAATAGCATATGAAGCGTACGGTACTGAGTTTGAGTTCCAGAGTGAGCATCAACTGTGAGATGTCGGTATATCTAGCTGACGAGTCCCGAATAGGATGAAACGCATGTGCTAGTCACTATCTATCTTTGCTTATAAGGTTTGTGACTTAACACAATATCGATGCATCACGTACCGGATGAATATATATGCTAATAAGAGACTAATCAATTACCATCCTAAACAACAATCAGAAGATTCAAACAAAATGACAATACCAAATGAATGTGTATGTATATAAATCGATTGAGTTTTTTCTTCCCTGTACTGCTTGTTTACAATATGAATGTAGTTGTTGATTGAATGATAATGATTAATCATCGTCATTGTTATTCTCATTCATCATAATTATGTGAATGTTGTACGGTTGATTGATTACTGAACGGGTACATTATGATCAATGATTGAAAATGATGGAAATTTAACTTTATTCATACTTACATTATGTATTATTTGGTATTTATGGTGGGCAATGTATTTCCTTAATTATGTCTGTTACACCTTTTGTATCTTGATTCATCGACTAAAAGTCTCTAAACTATCTTTTCTAAATGTTTTCAAGTAGTACTCATTCTTTTGATGTTTACCTTATTAGATAATCGTATAGTTAGTTTCGTAACCTATGACGTTACCACTAAACTTCTAGGTGGGAGACATTAACATTTGGTACAAGAGGGCACCAATCAGATATGCGCCACATAAATCATTCGATTTGTGTGAGGGTTGGGATACTATCCGATTGCCCAAACCAAAGTAGGTGGTTTACTTAGGGAGCCACACTCGGAGTATTCATCCTGAAAGTCAGTTCCACAACGCAGTGGAGAAACGTTGATAGATGCAGTTGGATGATGGCCGGTCATCAATAATCGGTTTATATAAGACTTATTCACTCAGGATCCTGGAGGCCATGTGTACCATTAGTTTGGAATGAGGGTTATCGAAGTGCCCTGAGTGGACCCTCCGTGTCCAACATGCCGGTTAAGGATCCTGCCGGACATTCACTTTTTATTGTCTCAATTTCGTAAACAAGAGTAATGCTGCGAAAAGGCAGTGATTAGGACCTTTTATGTCAGTGGCTATATGCACGTAGTCACGTGATAGCATTTGCAGTGGGAGAGAGGACTTTGCCCACCCTCGGCTGTACCAGGGCATTTGGGAAACTGACATTATGTGAGACAGAGATACAATTGATTGACCACTGATAACATTGCAAGTTGATCGATAGAATTAGATTGACATTAAAAAACTAGACAAACACAAGTGGTTAATCAATTATATCTATCTCAATCCAACAGAATATCAGGTGGTGTTTGAAAAAGTCAATGGTGACATCTCAGGCTCTTAAACTAACTGGCATACTGTTGGATACATCAAAAGAAACCAGTTCCTCATGACTGCAGGTACCGTATGCTAATATGCGTCCCTTAGCACAATAAGAAAATTTTCACAAGATTTCTCGTCAACCATCTCTTATCACTTAACATGTTAATTATTAGTTGTATAATTCATGATATTTCAAAACGATACCTCATATCTTTTACAGAAACGTTTCATAATAGAGGAATCCTTAACATCTATTAATTTATTTCATAGATATGTTGGACCTTTGGTCATGCGTAAGAACTCTTAATCTGTA